TGTTGGTTGACAATGTTGTTGTCAGAATGGAAGACATCATTGTGATGCTTCCACATGCCTTTGCCAATAAGGAAGAGCTGTCAAGATAGATTGGCAGCCCACAGGCTACCAGAACGGCAACTACTGCAGAAGTGGTAGAATTGTTGCTGGAGGTCAAACCAGCCATGGACAAGAAGGCCTTTGAGGAGGCATTGGGGGCCAAGGCGGAGTTGGGCCTTGCAGACTTGGGTGAGGGCGGAAGAAGACATACTCTGGAGGCGGTACCACGCAGCATCAAAGAAAAGTACCAAAGAAAATTGTTTTGCTTGTCATTGGGGACCAAATTTTGATTATCTCCCTTTTACAACACTGTAACTATTCAAACCCCGTTATTGCTCTGTTATTGTTCAATAACGGGCACATTGTACAAAGATGACCCAAGTGGAAGAGAAAAGGATGCGGGGCTTCTTCCACTTCATGAGAAGACTACTATATAGTACTAAGAACAACTGAAGGCAACTGCCATTGGAGAAGGAAGCCCAATTGGAACAAACTGGATCCTTTCATAAGTTTCCAATACTAGGGGATAAAGAAGAGGCATCAGCTTGTCAGGAGATTGAAGTTGCAACCTCCTTACAGGTAGGCTATGTAGACAACAGCCACCATGATGTGACCAAGTAAATTTATGAATGAAGGTAGCTTTAAATTTAGAATGGAGACATGCATTGTTACTCTTTGTAACCACTACTGCATATTTGTGATTGGATATTTGATGATTTGTTTGAGGAGATGATGCAGTTAGGGAACAAAAAATGAAACGGCTCATAGCAATAAAATGCTTCTGGACTCAGTGATTGAAGTATGAATATCCAGGATTATTGGTACTATCCATTGCTTTGTTGTAGGTATACAAGATTCTATTGCCAAGTCCTCTCTTTTCTGCATCCTTGGCAAGAAGCTTTGGGGCCTTTGGGTCAGTGTAGATTCCAATCTCTTTTTGTTGTAGGATTGTCTTCAAGTCAGACATTGGCAGGAAGTAGCTAGTACACCTTTAGGGCTTTGAGCCAAGAACATTTGGATTTGTGATGTATTAGCTCAGGGGTTGTTTCTCCTTTGGAGTGATGTTGCCTAGATAGGCAAGGGGAAGTTGAAAAAGATGGACACACTGATTGTCACAAACTGCTGTGAGGGCACTTGTAATTGTTTCTTCCCACTCTGTTCTTTCTTCCAAAGTCCAATTCTTCTGCATAGGAGGGACAGCCATGGCCAACCTTGGAAGTACAACAACCCGGTTCTGCTGCAAGTCTTCCGCTTCAATGGATTGTTCTTGCCATTGCAGGAGCTATGGACCATGTGAATCCTACAATGCCAACGGATCTTCTTGGATGCATATTCTTTGTCTCCCAAGATCTTGTCCATCACAACTTGGATGGGGGGAGAGCAATGCAATTCTCCTTTGGAAGTAGGAATTCCTTGTAGAATTTCCAACAAGGGCAGTCGCAACAGAATTGGGAGCAAGTGTGCACTTCTCTCTTAGTACAAAGTTTTTTGCATAAAAACTCCATCTTGCCACAAACACCTTTGCCTGGTGCTTCAGATTGCTCTCTTGGACTTGGTCATTGCAAGAAGAGGCCAAGCAGCAGTTGGGTGTGACAGGATCCCTGAGTTCAAAGGACAGAAAGCCATGGTTCTCATCAGAATTCTCATCAGGACTTTCATCAATACTCTTGCCTTGTTTGGTGTGTGTTGTCGTTTTGTTGAGGTCTGGGATTGTAGATGGTATTTGGTTATCTGCTGCTGCCACTGGTTCCTTTTTCTGCTTGCTTGACTCCTCCGTCATAATCCGTTCCCATTTCGTCTGCCATATCATCCATGAATGGTGTGGTCTTGTTGTGAATGGTCTTCTCAATTTTTGGACCAACAACCTGTGATCTCTGCTTGAGCAAAGACATGATTCTTGGGAGGGGCGGAGTTCTGCCACATTCATTGCTCTACTTGAACATTTGCGGGGAGTAACAATGGAACTGTTTTGCTTATTGGAAAATTGATGAGAAGAATCAGGCAAGGTACTAACAGCACTTGCACTGTGGACTGTCATCTGAGATGTGGCATTGCTTTCTTTGGTTTCCTGTGTCTTTTAGCTGGAGACTTGAATGGCTGTCTTGAATTGTGGAGACTATTTTTCTAAAAAGTGTTTAAATATTTTATACCTCCTAACGGTACACGTACGAGTCCAGGTACCTGGTACCAGTGCAGACAGAAAGTCACGACAATATTTGTAGTCGCGCAGGTTCGTTTCGCCAAATATCAACACAAGCCCGTCGTCCATCTTTTAAGAATCCAACGGAAATGCAGTAGGATGTTTTGCCGCGCGTCACGTGTACCTGGTTTACCGATACAGTAATACATTACAGCGGCAGCGCGTGATAGTCGTCCATGAAACTTGAAACTAGCCAAAGTGGCGGTCCAGCGCGTGAGCCGTCCCTTCCATCAATTTTTTAATAAGACTGCAATTTTCGTAGCAGCAAATCAAATCCAGGTTGTTTCCTCAACGTACAAGCACAGCAGTCTTATTACTGGGTATACATCTCAATACCATTCATTCGACGTGAAGGACCACTATAGTACCAACAAGAAGCACAACAACAACAAGCTTGCAACCCTTGCCTCTTCCGTTCGTTCCAAACTGGTTGGTTGCTACAGTACTACCTGTCTTACAGTCGATAATCGATTGAAAGGTTCACGTTCATTTATTTCCATTGGCTTGGTAGTGTTCCATCATCCCTGACTCTCGCAGTGTGACAAAATACATTCGGTGTAGGACACTCCTAGACACAGGCACACACCACACCACACACAACAGAATGGTGCAATTGCAAACGGTATTCGAATCCATGTGCCGGTGTTTTGGACACGAGGAAGATTTGGACACTGGTAGCGCCACTAATTCGGCGCAAGGGATCCACGAGAGTTCCAGCCAAATATCGGCCAAGAAACGGGCCAGCCGTTTGGAACTCAAGGACAAACAATGGGACGAACTCTTTGAGAAAACACAAAAGAGTCCATCGAAGCAATCGTCGCCCACCAAGAGGACGATATCCACGAGTACTTCTGGTGCTTCGGGCGGTAGCTCGAAACAACGGAAAAAGAAACCGGAGGAAGTCCGAGACGACATTTTCCGAATGAAAGCCAAGGAAGATGCCTCCAATTCGGCACAAGGATTTGCCAGACTCTGGAATCCATACATGGCTCTTTGTTTTGCCACTCCGGTCCGCGGCGCTTCCGAAGAAGTGGCGGCGGCAGACGAAACCGACATGCAATCAGACACGGCAACCCTCAACACCAATGAAGATACCATTGCTTCCACGGTTTATTTTGAAAACAAATACAGCCACCTTACCGAAACGAGACCTCCCATGCCACTCTTTAATCAATTCAAGATTGGCAATGAAAAGGATGAGATTCGAAACGTAATGAATTCGGATTCCCATTCCAGTGTGAATATGATTCGCTTGTTGGCGCAAAACAACAATGATAACAACAATAATACTACCACGAGCAATACTAAGGGAGACGACGAAGTGCCAGATGTCACATCCACGGACTCTTCCTCGAGGGAATCGAGTAAGATGAGGCCAAACATGAGCTGATTGGATTGGACTTTATTTGATTTGATACCTATTCGAGACGGATCGATCGATAGATAGATCAAGGAATGAAGGATGATTCAGCATTCAGCATTGTTCAGAACCACATGGACATGGTGGACGAGATTGAACTCTCTTCATTGCCTGCATTCTTGCTCCCCTGAACAGAAAGGCAAGAGACCTAACTCAGTTGTCAATTTTGCAAACCATTGGGATGTATATTTGTGTGACAGATGCAAAACGAGGCGTGTCACCAACTGAATGACACACGCAAAGACTTTCTGTTCTGTGAATTGGAATGGAGTTCTAATCGGTGATGGTTGGCAAGTGTCACACTCATGGAATGAGAAGCACGAACTCCTATCCAAGCATATTTTCATGCATCATGCATGCGCCAAAAGTGAACGAGAATAGTGCAGTTCAGTGCTACCTTTGTATTGTATATGCAAAGAATGGAAACACGAAGGTTAAAAAAGAAAGACGACATGGTAGTCGAACTGTATTTTGAAAACAGTAGTAATGATACTAATACCAATCACATTCTGTAATACTCTGATGGGGTGTGCCAAGCTGTACTACTGTATTTGAAATGCTTATTCTTCCGAGTGGGCGTCAAGCGGATCGGAGTACGGTACCTGGTTCGTAAATTGTGCTACTCGATCCCAACCAATCATCCATTTTTTCTTTACCACTAACTACACAGCAATTACAAATGTACGACTGGATTATGATCAGCGACTTTACTGGTGTTCTCCCTTTGAGTGTTGGATAACAAGGACGACGAGGCAGAGCTCTGCATGCATACAGGTGCTGGAACGATACAGTACGTACAAGGTACTATACATTGACTGCGAATTGAACGCCGGGGAACAGGTCTTTGCTTTGGGAGCCGTTTGGGGGAACCTCAGAAATGAGTTAGAGTTCCCCAATAAAAAAGAACCGCGGAGTTGAAATGGGAAGGAAGTTTATAAAACGTGGATACCGGTACAGTAGGATGATACTCTATTCAAAAATAAAATACAGTTCTATTCCTATTTTTATTCCACCGCCACTTTGGCAATATCTACTGGATCAAAGATGGTCAATTGTGGTTGATACTTTTGAGTCGAAAAGGACCGTTTGACCGATTCTTCCCACTTGCTTGGATGGTAGACGTTGCGACGTTGGAATCCTAAAACTGGGTTGTGTTCGAAACGAATATCTGTGGACGAAATAGAAGCATGTCGTTGAACAGCTTCGGTTCCGCCTTCAAACTGAAGCCCCAATTCGCATCCTTCTACGCTCCAAAACATGCGATTGGTAGCATTGCTGAGTCCATCTTGCAAGAAGATGACGCCGTGGTCGGTCAATGCCAAGGAATCTGTGGTCACAGTCATTCCAGCACTGGAAACAAGGCCAATCTGAGCTTGATACGTGGGGATTGGGACATACTCAACACCAGAACCGGTACTTGATGTGCTGGGGATTTCAGTTGTTTGACCAGTAGTAATGTCTGCCAGATAGGCATTCAAAGAGATGCGCATCTGATGGTCCAAGCACATTTCCACAGACAGCGACAAGCCATCCAACATCATCCAGCCGTATTCAATCATCTTGTATCCAATATAGCCCAATTCTCCCTTGAAGTCGAGCCACATGTGGTTGTCATATTTCTTCATCAACCCGATGAATACTGTAGTCTCTTGTTGAGGCAATTGATGTTGTCCTATTTCCGCGTAAATGGAAGAGTTCAAATTGCGGACAGGTGTCAAGAAATCAGAGGATGAAACATATCGCTTGGGGACGACAAAACGTTTGCCATGATAGTCTGTTTTCTCTGGGTCATATCCCAGATACAGCGGGGCGAAATTGTAAAACATGGTAGGAAATTCGCCACCATCAGCCACCGTTTCCGAGGCAATGATGCTTCCGAACATAAACACCCAATTTTCAAATCGTTTGTCTGCCACAATCTCTTCTAGGCCCTTTAGAATTTGACAGACAGGACCACATACATCCCACTCTCCTGGCGCTTCGTCCATAAACACATATGCTCCGTCAATACCCCGCCAGAAAAATTCTGGGGCAATGAAAATCTTGAGAGTATTTGGGTCGTGATCGGCGGAGTTGTACGCCTTTTCCACGGCATCCTTCATGATTTTCAGACGGTTTTGTGCGTCTTTTTCGTTGTCAGGATCACCAATGTAGCATTGCATTTCGTATCCTTCTTCTGTCCACATGGAACCATAACTCTTCAAACCGACGCATTCCGGATTCAAGTGCTGAGTACCATTTTGACCTAAAAGGGCTGGTGCTCCTCCCGTATAGATTTGAAAGCCCAATCCTTGTACCTGTCTATACTTCGAGTTGGTCGAAAATGTAGGAATTCTCGGGCCGTTCTCTTGGTTTTGTTCATGATGGGTCGCCAACAGCATTGCCAACGACGCCACAAACAAGGCGATGCTGAGTGCATTCCAAATGGAAATATCTTGGAACCAACTCTTGTTTCTGTTGAGATTGTTAGACTGGGGCTGTTTCTCGCCCAGCAATTGGCTCATTTCGTCGGCGTTGCCCATGTTCGGAGTAGGGGGCATCTTTCACTGTTCTCTTGTCTTGTTGTTTGAAAAAATGAGAAAATCTGTGGTGGAAGGTGGAGAATCTGATACGTGTATCGTGTATTACAAATTGGCCAATCAGAGGAGCCAAAGGATGTCTGATCATACGAAAATGCATTTTAGAGACGTGAAGATTCATTTCGCGACTCCAGATTCACAGAGGTTTGAAAATTTTAAAAAAAGAAAACGGAACGACGTTTGCGGAGTATATCGCCAACAAACTGATGAAACTGCATCACGTTTTCAATTGTCATTATCTGATGCTGTGTCTTCTGCTGGAAGAAGATCAATGACGCGCATCAACCAGGGCATCATCAGCTGTTCTACGATTATAACGTCCGCTTTCAGACCATGCTTATTTCCTCCTCAAAACCAGCCACGCATAGCTGCATTGCAGAGCATGTGACGCATACCAATGTGCTTCTTGTTGGCAGGCCTACAGTAGGTCCCTCTCTCCGTGCTATAGATTGCAATACAGTAGCCGAATCGTGTTTGCTTTCCTGTGTTCTTCGCCCGTTTGAGTGGATAATACGCTTCTGAAACAGCTGTGAACGAAGTGGAAACGATACTTACCGTACCATCACTGGAAAGTTGATTGTTTCGGAGGAGCACCAGTCTTTCCAAACAAGATTCCCGACTCCTACGCAACATGATGACATCAGGGATGAACGAATGAACTATCATCCTGCTACTAAATTCATTAAAAACACCGGATGAGCGATTGGAGTGAACTAGCTCCGATAGCTAAAAAGCTGCCGGCAAAACTAATGGAACTGAACCCTTCCCTGCAAGATTGTGGTTGTTATTAAAAATAAAAAACATTGTTGTTGTAAAAGATTGGAAAAAGAGCGAAGCTAATTCGCCTCAGATACATGTTGGATAACTGCGCCAAGGGTCCAATGAATATCAATGTTCTCCAATTTGTTCCCGATCGTGATTTGCTGTTGCGGATCAAACCCGAGCCCAAATGTGAGATAAGAGTGGGCATATAAGGCCGAGAAACACAAGTCCGAGTTGTATTCTCGCGGTTGCGTATCCTCAGGATAGTTCGCGTCAATCTCCTTCCAGGGTTTTTCACATATTTCCTTCGCAACCCTTTCAAAGTCTGCAATGAAAAATTCACGAGCGGCTTCCCCAGTTGCTATTTCTCCAACGCCACTCATAATATCATAAAAGATCCCAAATGCCCATAGTCTGTTGCCGTGTATCTTGTTCAAGTCTGGCCCATCAAGTTCTTTCCAAAAGTAGGGATAACCAATTTTTTTTGCAGTTTTATCCCGGTGCGTAATTGCATATTGACACTCTTTAAAGCTCCCGGTACCTCCCCAATTAGTATAATAAGACATGGTCATCGGGGCTTTATTTGCCTGATAGGAAGAGCGCACCCTGTATCCACTGGGATAGCACGGGTTGTAGTACCATGCTTCACCGGTTCCTTTATCCTGGTAGTACTCGCGCCTGGAGTCTGTCTCGTCCTCATCTGAAGAATGTAATGAAGGTGGCTTTCCGCTTCGCATTCGTGGGATCATCTGGCTCACTGCATCCTTGGCACTATCGATCCCATACCCGTAAGAAGGGAGCGTGAACATGTTTAGAGAGCAGCCCAACAAACTAGACGAATGAGGAAAGATGTATTTTTTTTAATCCCAATATTGTCGTTGAGAGGGATGGTGGCATGGGCAGAGCTTCCTCCCATATTCAAAGTTGTTTTGGGGTAGAGGAGGTGCGATGTCTGATGTGGCCATTTTTCGTCTCATGTAGGTAATTGAGGGCCAGCCAACCCAGCGTCCCTTCCTCCTCCCCAGTCATTATTTCGGCATAGGAGGGGCGAAACAGAAATTTCGAATTTTCCAATGTTATTCTCACGCTTTCAAGGATGGAATGGGCAATTCGTTTGTTTGCTTCTTGCACCTGTCGCAATCCTGACGTAGCCTTGAGTACAATGGGAGTGGATTCGGTCAGATCGTTTGGAACGTGTGTCTTAGCAAATTCCAGAAGCGGTTCCAAAGAAGCCCCAGCGTTATGGGGACCACTGAAGGAATCGAGACTATTCGTGGATTTGAAGGTCGCAGGGTCCGGTTGAAATGTCAGGTACCCGTATGGGGAGAAGAAGTACTTGTAGATGTAGATTCGAGACCCTGAAGATCCGGCATCAATAACTAACATATACTGTGCCTCTTTGGAAGTTACCTTGGTTGCAGATAACTTTCCCCTTGATAGGGAGTGAACATGTGTCCACAAAGCGAACAGGCTCACAACGGCCAAAGCAATGTTGGTAGGTGACCAGAAGTATTTGTGTTGCTGACTTGTCTTTGTCTGGTTCATCACGTCGAACCTATCTTAGTATTTATTGCGGTGCATGCGGAGAACGCAAAACTTCTTAGGTCTCCAACGAAGCTTTTAGGAAATAATGATCGATTCCATTGGAATGAACAAACACGCATATATTCTCCCTTCGAATGTCTGAAATCGCTCGCGGAAAATAAAAAGGAACCCGGAGGCTCGCTTCGCGCCACAAAAGGAAGAAATCTACTGCACAGTAGGACCAGTACCAGGTGCAGTGGTTATTGGTAATCTCATTAGTGTTGAACACTGTTACATACAAGAACTTAATCCTCCCTATTTTATTCCATAGTACGGTACCCAACACGTCGTCGTCGTCGTGCATCATTAGAACTTTTCAACTTTTCATTTTATTCCATCATAGATTGGACTCCCCCACCCGAAAAGGACATGTTGGATTCTTCTGGCATGGAGACCAGTCCAGCGTTCGTTCCACCAAATGCTGCCTGACTACTTGCCGCCGCCATCATACTATCGGACATTTGCTGCGGTTGTAACGATTGCTGTTGTGGCGGACTTGGATCTTCCCCCCAGGAAATAGGAAATTTGGTAACTCTCGGTTTGTCCGCCAGAATTTGGCGTTGAATGTGTTCAATGGGCAAGGGTTTTGGCAATTGTGGTGGAGGAGGAGGTTCTTGGCCCTCTGGTGTGGGAGCAGGCGGAGGAGCATTCGGGTCGTGATATTCATTATTGACATAGTACCCCACCCTTACGAATTCCCGGTCTTTGTAACTACACGTCACTAGAACCACCGTGACTCCTAGTAAATCTTCAGGCAAGAGTTTGGATGGATCCGGAGCATCCGCCTGTAGCACAAACTTGTTGACTCCCACTGGAATGGGTCCCACCAATATTTCGTCCAATACTTGATCTCGACTGGAATCTTGGGCGCTGCCTACATAGAGGACCTTCCATTCTAAATCGTCGTCCAGCTCTTGCAAGCACTCAAAGGTAATTTCGAATTGAAAGGGATTGGAAAAGTTTGTGGGATTGTCCAAAACCACCTTTGAACCAAAAATTTAAATGGAAACCAAAACGAATTAGAATCGAATAATATTTTAAAAGCAGTATACCGAGAGGACTTGATGTCGTTCCAAATAATAGCTCCAAGCAATGCTGTCACAAAACAATGCTGTGACAGGGGAAACACAAATTGTTTCTGACAATGATATGTGCATCTCTTGTGGACAATGTATGGATAACAGGAGCCAGTTTTCTTGGACATGACTTGAACTTACCATATTCACAACGTTGACGAGAGCCATCTTGATTTGTGGTTCTTTTTATGATTGGATGTTGGATCTTGTGGGCGTGACAGTATTGTCTTGTTTCTATTTGTATTTGTTTGGTGTCAGAACAAGTGTTGTTCTCTATCTTTTGTAGCTATTGTTAGTAAGAGTTTGTGTGCGTGTATTGTATGGCAACGATATGTTGTCTTGTTTGTTCGTGATGTCACTTCAATGGCTGGCAATGACAGAAAGGAAAGCAGTGCAGCAATTCTCGCTCTCCTCCTGCAAAAATGAAAACCCGCGGGTCCGATCGACGGCAGCTTGTTTCGCAAAACCGCTGATTTCCCGCCAACCCTCCTCGTCTGTCCTGTCGTGCGATGATGATGGATTGTGATTCTCAGAGCCGCAAATTGATGGTGTCACGAAATAAGAGCACGTGGAAACCTTACTAGAAAACTAAAAAAAGCACACCCACCGCCCTCCCCACCACCATTATCCTTGTCTGTCACACTAGACAAACAAAACAACAAAACAACATCCATCATGCCAGAGGTAAGCTACAGCCATACAAAGCAATGCAATCCAATCCAATTTCGGAATGCCTTTACAATTTCCAAGAATTGTGGGAATTTCTAAACATTGAAATGGAAATGCAGCAACCGTTGCAGCTCCTACAACACGGATCCAACTAAGCCCAACAACTTTCACGTTGTTTCATGAGACCTAATTTGTATATTTCAATTCTCACCATTTCTTTTGTCTCCACAACAATTAGATTGAAGAAATTGACGACGACATTCCCGAGCTTGAGGAACAAGTTCCTGAATTGGAACCAGCTTCAGCTGCCGCTCCCGTCATGCCTGATGGTTCCATGCCAATGATGGCTGAAACCAAGCAAAACCGTAACGAGAAGAAGTCTCGTAAGGCTATGCAAAAGTTGGGCATGCGACCAGTCCCTGGAATCTTGCGGGTTACCGTAAAGAAGTCCAAGAACGTCTTGTTTGTCATTAACAAGCCCGATGTTTTCAAGTCCCCCACTGCTGACACTTATGTTGTCTTTGGTGAGGCCAAGAGCGAAGATCTTTCCAGTGCCAGTCAAGCTGCCGCTGCCAAGCAATTCCGTCAACCTCAACAAGAGTTGCCCCCTGCTGCTGCCCCAGCGGCTCCTGCTGCCGCCGCCGCCGAAGAGGATGAAGAAGTCGATGAGACTGGATTGGAAGCCAAGGATATCGAGCTTGTCATTAGCCAAGCTGGATGTACTCGCGCCAAGGCTGTCAAGGCACTCAAAGAAAACGAGGGTGATCTTGTCAACAGTATCATGAGTCTGACCAAGTAAACGAACGAACCGTATTTTCTAAAAATATAAAAATACCTTTCTATTGCTTCTTGTCATTGTATTGAAAATCTTCCATGTCTGTTGTTTCTGATAAATCGGGATCATCTTCCGGGTCAATGCCCTTTGTCAACAGTGAGGATACCTTTGCTTGGATCATTGCCAGAGAGGATCGTTTGGCTCGATCCTTTTCCAGTATCAGTGAAAATAGCTCTTTTACATCGTCCGAGTACCATTTCCCTGGTTCACTCTCTGATGGAGGAAAGGGAAGGTCGGCCAAAATCGACAATTGATTGCACTCTTGTTTCACCATTGCTCCCGTTTCTGGATCAAAGGTACATTCAAAGGGCGAGGCTCCATATAACATGGCAAACAAGGTACAACCAAGCGACCAACAATCCACCAAACCATAGTTCAAGGGATCATGTCCCACCATGAGTGCTCCGGGAAATAACTCGGGAGGTCGGTAGGCCATACTCGTGGATTGACTGGCTGTATTGGCAATTTCAAAAATTTCTTTGGCCGACGAGCAGGTTCTGGATAGTGGTCCCGCATTCTTGAACCCTGACAGTACGGGGCGCTTCCAACTACTTAGATAAATATTCTCCACTTGGATATTTCGATGACTGTAACCAATCTCATGCAAGGCGTCGACCGCATGTAATAAAAGATAAAACATGTACAATGCTACTTTCTCGTCCCATGGTGGTATTGCAGGGAGGCCTTCTTTGGCAAAATGGACGTCAAGTTCCGCCTGTAATGACAAATGCATGAATGGAAAAACCATATAGCAGAAATGCTGCTCTTCGTCGACCATAAATCCAAGCATTGGTATGATGCAGTCCTTGTGATCACTTAGTACATTGCAGATGATGGATTCCTTTTCGCATGCTTCCCCTGAAATGTTTGGAGGATGATAAGACTGTAAGTCAAACACTGGCCATTCAACGGCACCACAATTTCAGACTTGATACTTACGAGTGGCATCATTCAATACATTAATGCGTTTGAGCACGTATAAGGTCTGGCTGTCCTCGTAATGGGTTGCATGAAAGGTAGTAGCAAAGCTTCCTTCCGATATTAGTTTTCCAACACGCACCGTCCGCTCGGAATAGGGACCAGTCTTTGGAAAGTCAATGGTCCCTCGCCTGTTCCATTCTTCACGTTTTCGGCTGACATAACCAAACATTCCAGGTCCTGCTGAATCTTGAGGATCTTCTTCCACTTCTTCTTCGGTTGTGGTGGGACTTTTTGGTGGGACTTGATTTCCCACTTGGATTTGCTCGGCATCCGGTTCTTCAAATGGACTTAGATTCGTTGCCTTTTGTTCGTCCTTTTTGGCTTCGGTCAACTTCCGGAAAACATTGAATCTACTACTTGACTCGGGTGAGGTAGGCTTGACTTTTGTCGTCTCTTCCTTCTCGTTTTGCGATTTCTCATCATCACCTGGAGTTGCTGAGCTGGCAGACTTTGGACTTGTTCGGAACACACCAAACAACCCACCACCGGAACTAGAGTCAGTTTCTCCGTTTTTTGCCTGTTCTTCTCCCTTCTCTTCTGCGTGATTTTTGGTTTCTTCATCATTGGTATCTTCGCTGCTTTGGTTCGGGTTCCCCCGGAAAACACTGAAGAAACTTGGACTATCAATACTCTTTTCTTCGTCTCCTTCTCCTTCTCTCCCTGCGTCATTTTCGCCTTCGTCCTCCTTTGAAGTTTCCTGGGTCTCAGACTTTGGACTTGCTCGGAAAGCACTGAAGAATCCAATCTTTGAACTGGAGGCAGTTTCCGCATCCTTCTCCTCTTCCCCCTTCTCTGCACCATTTTCAGCTGCTACTTCGTCTACTGTTTCTTCTTTTTCTGGATTTGCTTTCCCTCCAAAGCCACCAAAGAAACCTAACTTCGATGCCTTTGGAGATTTCTTCGTTTCATCTTCTTCTTCTTTGCCATCAGCATCTGCTTTCCCATCTTCTTTCGCCTTATCTTTTTCGTCTTCATTGGTGGATGCCGGAACGCCAGATCGACGAAATCTACCGAACAAACCAGATTGTTTTCCCTTGACTCCAATTGCAAAGTTTGGACTGACTTCTGCTAAAGCTTTTGCAGTGGCCTGAAGATCGGCGCTCAAGTTCGTTGGACCGTCGACAGAATGTGATGGCAATAGTTTTGAGAATACATCAATGCTTTTTGAAATACTGGCTTCGCCTTCAGTTTCGGGCGCGGCAGTAGCGGAGGATTCCCTTTGTTCCTCTTCTTCCTTCAACGCTTCGATAAGCTGGTCGATGGGTTCGTCTTTCTTATCCATAAGCTCTGTATCGTCGTCGCTATCTAGCGCTTGAGATTGCATTGAATGCGATGAGCCGGGCAATGAATCGACTTCTGTTTCGGCTGGAACGTTTGGATTTAAATCATCTTCAACTGGATCATCCTCGGGCGTCTCGAATGATATGGCCATCGGACTTTCCTCAGCACTTTCCAAGGGCTTGGGAATAGTTGGCTCCTCTGGGAAAGTTGACTCTGAAACACTCAAATCAGGCTCTGTAAAATCCATATTCATGGCCGTACCGTCTGCATCTCCATTCGGGTGACCATTGAGATCTTCAATCTGATCCTCTAGTTGATCAAAGAAAGCGGCATCTGCGTCATCTAATTCTGCATTCTTCTCAATTTCGTCCATATCCGCAGTGTTCGAGCCTAGAAGCTCTTCCAGAGCCTCGATATTCATGTCATCGTCCGAATCAATATTGCTCATCATGGTGGAAAAATGCCATATACGAAAAGTATTTTTGTCAATGTCTTGAAAAAGGTCTATTTCAGTTTTATAAAACAGTCCTTCTGCAGCAAGAAATATCATATACCACCTATCTACTATTGTATGCTGTATGTCCAAGAGGGGTCAGCGATGCACAAGAACTCTACAGTATTAGAGGCTTATAGATTACGAATGAAGAATGTTTCAAGGACGATACAACTGATGAGCAAAACTATTACTGGCTGGACATCAGTATCATGAATCATCATCGTCTCGTGGTCTCCAAAACTGTACTCGCCCTCTTGCTGCTTTCAAGAAACACTATCAATGCTTTCAACATTGGCAGCATCCAAATAGACAGCATCATCAACCCTGTTGTGCGTCACTTTATGGTTTGGGGGCCTTATCTGATGATTCACCTCTGTCCAAATGCAGAGGCACTCTGGTCATAAAACGACACATGACAGCTCCCAAGAATGCTTAGAATGATCAGATCGAGGATGATAGCTCTGTCGACGATGTCCTCGTTAAGCTACGAAATGATTACAAAACCAACAACTACCCAGGCACTCGGAAATCAAGCAAACTTGGCGCTGGATGATTTGAAGGATGATAGTAGTGATATTTTAAATGCAACAGCAAGCGATACCGTCGGTATTTCCGAACAGCCCGAAGAGACGAGCCAACGGGCAGCGATCCACACCCTGATGATGACAAAACACTTGGATACTACATCACGGACGAAGACGAATGGTTTCAGGAAGCAGCGAATGCATCGCAGCGGGTGAAAAGCATCGACTGCGACATCAGAGAGAGCAAAATGGCGCACAAACGAAACTTAAACGGATTCATAGCTCGATTGCACAAGCTCTTCGATTGGAAAAGACTGTGTGATGATGATTCAAAATATTGTTATATGGCTCCGTACTCTCCAGTAATACAATCCAGTGGAACTGGCGAAACCAAGTTGATGCACGAATGTGAAAACTTGATGGTGAAAGACACGATGTCCATATGGTGCGTGCACGGACGGGGATGCTCCAAAAATGACATGAGAAGGGAGCAGCATGTTGTTCCAATAAGCAAGATACAAGATGGTCAAAGAGGTCATGAGGCGCTTTGGAATCAATTGAATGCCTTCGCCAGGACAGAAAACAAGAATGCTGTAGTGCTCTTTGATGATTCCCAGTAGATGGGCAGACGACCAAATCTTATTCCTTTCCATTGATGATTGACATTGAAGGAAACCAACAGCGATGTTCTTCAATACCTTCAATACGCATGAATAAGGTTGACATGAATAACTGGTGTGTCCAACATGTTTTCTTACAGATCTAGGTGGAGCAATGTGAGCAAGCCATGGAGGAATACTACCTAGCTAGTAGGCTGGTGCTGATTCGGCATTGAAGAACTGCCCTAGTTTTAGAAGGGGAGGTACTATTGAGGTCTATATGGCAAAAGCAAATAGAAACATAGATAAAGGTAGCAGTATTTTATTGGTTACTACCAGTATACTAGTTCAGAACGGGAAGCTTGTAAGATTGTTTTTATCATTGGATCTGATGTGACACAATTTTAAAACTGTGAAGTTTTAAAACTGAGTGACGCAGTTTCAAAACTGAGAAAGCTAAAAAACTTTCACAATCTCAGAAGTGGTGGCTTGACGGGCGTAGTCATTTTACGAACTTCCGGAAATACCGCGTGCCCACAGTCATTGCGCAGTCAGATGTGATATACGGTACATAAAATATGTTATCATACATCGAAATTCAAAAGTGACCTAGTTTGGGATACCCTGTAAAAGCCGTTTTGCTGCATATTTTCAGGCTGTCGTTCTCGTGGTTAAAGCAGTTTTACGCGATATAAATCGAGGTGGTGAAAGCAGTTTTACGCGATATAAATCGAGATTCGTTTTCCACCTATGCTCTTGTTAGAAATCGAAAATAGGAACAACTATCTCCAGATTCCCTAGTGAAAAATGAATTATTGCATAAATATCCAACTTGCTCTTTCGTGGACATTTTGGAGATCGTTTTTCTTCTCCCTCGATGAAGAGTGAGTCTGCGGATTCTCGTCATCTACTATAGATGGGCCACTTAAGGACATCTCAAAGAACTCTTTCTTCCTCTTCATATATTATGAAAGCAAGAATTGACTCTGAAAACGCTACGGCAGCACAAGAGATGAAAACTGAGGTTGCGTTTTTAGTGCTGGGCTGGACCTACAACTACAGAGGGGTTGCTTGTCTTTGTACCTGGTAGCTTCCACGACTACAGTACAGAATCAGAACCGCTTTAGATAACAACCTCTGCAGAAATAGTGGGAACCAAGGTTGGGGTGTGGCTGGCTTGTGCCAGTTTTAAGATTGCTGTGACCATAATCTCAGTTTTGAAACTGCGTCACTCAGTTTTAAACTGCACAGTTTTAAAATTGTGTGTCACATCTCTGATCTTTTCTTGAAAAGCTATCACTATTATGGCTTGCACAGAACTGCGCGCAGCAGAATTTCGTGGTTTTTTTTTTAATTTTGAAAATACTGCATGTTATAAATAATAATGGTGTTCATCGCAATCTTGGCAATAACGCCGAGGTATTCCCAAGGGATTGGAGGACTTCATGTTTTTGCCCTTGTATGGCTCTCTCTCTTTGCATGCCTCTCTACGACAGCAAGTTGTGACTTGTATTTGGCGCAGTCAACAATTCCTGAGGCAGGTCTAGGTGTTTTTACTGGTATTTCAAGAAACCCGGGTGATATACTTGGTGCTGGAGATGTATGCATCCCATTGCTTGATCCCGGGACTCATCATGATGATCTTTTTGATCCCTTCGATGACTTTGTTTGGATGGGGGAAGATATGGGCATGAAAATGGAAATCGAATCTCAAGTGAAAGCCTTCTGTCCGGTATGTGAGGTGTTTTGTTTCCATGTCATGAGGAAGGAAGGAATCACCTGCATTCACTCACTTTCCTCAATGTTTTGCCACCAGGGGTTGGACTGTGCTATCAATTGCAACTTAGCGTTGATCAATGTGGAGAAACATGGCGTTGACTTCGATGATGCGGGACTTCATCGATCACAACATCCAGTAAGACCTTTCCTTGTCGCAAGTGAATATTGAGCGGATTGGTCTCACAGTGGTCTCTACGTAGGGGGCAGGGGCCACTACGCCGTACTTCAACTCAACGACAAAGGTGAAAAGAAGACTCCCTGCAGGGGGAGAACTGTTCAAGGTATTGTATGTTGAATGTGTAGCTGGAAGTTGAATGTTTTGATTTCATCTCATTCAGAATGTTCCTTCCTTTTTCCTCGACATCAGGACTATGGAGACTCGTGGTGAGTTCACGCCTTTAGATTTGCACTATAATTTGTAAGACGCCCAATAGTATGATTGACATAGTCATCCCATGACAACAGGTTTACATCGAGGCAGAAGTTTGATGGTGTGCCACTCTCTGATGATTTTGCCGTCGCACAGAATCTTGTTGACACAGCGTTTAACTTGGGCGATGCCAATACTGACCGTCTACATCTTCAACACCTATTTGAAGATATTTTGATTCCCATTGGAGAAATATGGAACTTGACAACACTGAAGGCTCTACCGTCATCTTTTGATGAAGTGCTGATTGCAAATCGAGAAGACATCGGAATGACACACCAACCAAATGCCACTCGTTCGCTCGAATGGCTGGAAGTCAATGGAAAGTGTATCGACAACATCGTTCCAGGAAGATCCACGATTGATGGAGCAGGCCATGGGGCTTTTGCTTCTCGCAACCTCCCAAAAGGCACTGTCGTCACCGGTACTCCGTTACACCACATACCGTTTCAAGATGAGTTCACTCCAATGTACCGGGTTGTAACTCGTGGGCAGAAGCAGTATCTCGACAGACGAGAAGTTGCTGGGCAACAGTTGGTCCTGAACTACTGCTTTGGTCACCCGCAGACAACTTTGTTGCTCTGTCCATGTAAGAAGAGGCGAACTTTGAAGCCATGTTGCTTGTCGATGTGATTCAACATGTCTCACTTATCCCTTTCTTTGTTTGACGGTCACTAAAGATGGATTCGGTGTCAACTACATCAACCACAATAGATCGAAAGCGAATGTGAGAATAAGATGGGCGCAGAACGGAATCACCAGCCACGATGAATCTTGGCTGCTAAAGTCTCCTTCAGAAATGCTTGCTGAGACCGGTGCTCATTTGGCGTTGGATTACATTGCAACGCGAGACATCAAACGGGGCGAGGAGCTCTTTTTCGACTATGGTGAGGGTTGGGAGAAGGCATGGTATGAACACGTAAAGGATTGGCAATCGACCAAGTTTTGGTCCAGCATGTACAGAAACGGTCGAGATTGGGATTCGGAACTACAGAAGTTGCCTTTGCGGACAACTCTTGAAGCTTTGGCAGACCCCTATCCACAAACCATCCAAATTCGGTGTCATTCCATTCTTGATGAGGATGCTTGGACGAACTTCACGAGGTCAGTCTTTGAGTATGGTTACCCATGCGAAATTTTGGATCGTGTGAAAGGTGAAGATACAGACTACATGTATACCGTCAAATTGACAACGGAGCCACACAATGAATACGATACCGAGTTTGAGAGCTCCGAGACGCTGGTTGTCAACAATGTACCCCGTGACGCCATACGCTTCGTCGACATCCCACGTACATCTGACATTCATTTGCGTGATGCATTTCGGCAATTTATTGGATTGCCAAACGAGCTGATGCCAGAAGCTTGGAAGAATCTAAAGGGCAAGGCCTAGTGGAGAGAAATATTCGTTCTAATTTATTGTTTGTAATATTATGTACACTATGAAACTGTTCACTGAAACTGTTCCTTCTGCAGCCTTCTAAAGCCCATCTCTTTTCCTGAAGAAGAAGATGCTTCCCATTTACGGTGGGGGGAGGTTTACGGGTATGGTAAAAATATTATCACCTCTAAGCGGAGGTCCACCTGTAGTATCAAGGAGACGGTAACGCCTTTTTAGCAATTGTCATTTCGAAAGAAAACGACAACATAATCAGAATACGTATGAATGAACGAGTCACACTCACCTTTTGCTACTGTCCGCTGGGACTGGAACCGTAGCTTTAGCCTAGTCTTTGCTGTAGTTTGCGGAGCTTCTTTCCGAAACGTAGTAGAAGACGACAAAGTAGGTGCTTTGCTGTTGATTCCTTTCGTTCTTCTTTTTTTCCTTCTTCCCGAACGATCGGTATCTGCTGCAAGAACGATGCAAGTCGTTGGAAGAAGTACTACCACAAGGAACAAAATCGCAGTGAATGCCCTCATCTCTACACTAGTGGTCCCTTTTCAGAGATCTGCTACCTTGCTTAGTGAGAAACCCAGCAAACTAGCCGTCCTCTGTACATACAGTAGTCATCCTTTGAATTCCATCGAAGGTTGAAAATCACAACCGGGACTTCCCATAAAATCAAGATCCGAAGCGTTATTTTGCCACCGAGAACGTTCCACGGCGACTATCTTAGTCCAAGCCTGCTGAGGTTGGAGCCTCTCGGTGACTCTCACACATGATACGGTACGATGGTCGGCATGCGTAGTCCTACTCTTACACTATGAAAAGTTTTGAATATTCTTTCTATTTTGTATGTTAAACGTGATACCACCACGATCTATTTCGATCCAAGTACTTGGTAGAGGGAATGGGAAAAAAAGTTATGCCCATACCCAGAAGAATTGATCACTTTCGTCCTCGTCACCTTCTTTCACATTGAATCTTTTGGCAGAGACTTCGACCCCTTGTTCCACAAAATCATCAGGATTCATCGTGATATACCCCTTCATTTGCTTATCAGATAGTTCGAGTTCTTTCTGCAACTCTTGCTTCACAAGTCTCCAAATCAAGAGTACGCCAAAGGCTCCAAAACAAATGCCTGCTCCCAAGAGCGCAAAGAGAATCAATCGTTGCTCCTGATTGTTGTGTAGATCAATTGCTGAATACCGAGCTGTTGTTGCTCCAACTGTTGCCAAGAACATTTGAAAGGGAATGACACCGACTAAACTCTGTAAAAAGTGCTCCGCAGAGATATCAGTCACACCAGCGCAATAGTTGAGAGCGTTGTATGGGATGCTATTCTCCATTTTTGAGCATATCAGCGTAAAATGTTAGGTTTTCATGTCGAACAGTTGGCGCGAGGATGGATTTAATGACCGCAGCTGACTTACACTGGGCACAGCCTGAGTAGAACGAGGACTCGAAATCCGTTACGTTCCAAAGCTCGATCAGCACACATCACCAGTGGATACCGCTTTGCAAACAATTGGATCAAGTCACGCATCATGTAACGGGCTCTGATAAAAGCAATAATGGCACTAATCCCACTTGCAAGGAATGAGGCCAACGTCGCAACCGCCATACCCTAATGCAAAATGAGGAGTTGTCAAGTCAGGCACTTTAAATTGGACTACCAACCACTTGGATTAAGATTTCACGCACCTCCCAAGTCCCAATGGCAGCCGAGAATGCAAACCCAGCAGCAAACACAAGAAAGATTTCTGGAACGAATAGTACTGTTGCCGGTACAGCCATGGCAAAAGCATTAGTTTCCAAGGGATGCCTAACATCGGAGTCTCTCCATTCCGGACTTACAAGTGGCAACGACAAAGACCGCGACATATGCAAAGACTCCCTCTACCGGATGGTAAGCCATCCAAGCAACAAATAGCGCCAACCAGTTAAGGAAAAGGCCCCCAAATGCTAGATCGCAACAAACACCTATAGCGCATATAACCAAAACAGCCGTCAGCAGTTTTTTCTTCCAGCATCTGTATCTGACATAATCCCAAAGTTCAGAGCTCAGATCCTTGAATTCCTCCCAAAGCTCAGCCGTTGTGATTGGCTTGCCTTGCCCAGTGCAACAGTAAGCAGTTTTCTGTGTCTGTGAATCGTTGTCGTCGCTATCTTCGTCGAGATAGTAATCCCCTTCTTTCATGGCCGGAGCCTCAGTGTCGTCTTGTGTAGTTTCTGGTGTCATTGCTTTTTGTGTCAGTTGAAGTCTGTTTGATTGACGAGAATAACTCACACGGTACCTGGTAGTACGAATGAACGAATGAACGAACGATTTGAACGAGATTCGTGTTCGCAGTCAGCGAGTTGGCCAGTCGTTCGTATTTTGAAGTCGATCCAATCGAAGATCTGTTTGACACGTACGAGGACCGGGTCATCAATCAACATGCAACATATGCGACACAACTTTGAAACCACCGAAGCCTTTGCATATTATCATCACATCTCATCAATCGACATTGCAGAACTCTTTAAAATGAAGCTCGTTGCAGTATCTCTCATGTACTTGGCAGTTGCCAATGCTTTCGCTCCAACAAGAACTCCGTCGCATCAACGATCATCTTCTGCTTTGTCGGCAGCTCTTCCACAACGTGACAATGAGAGCCCCGAGAAGAAGTTTTCCCTTGGAGCTCCCGTGGTAGGTCTCGTGTTGGGGCTTTCCATAATGACCAGTGCTGCATTTGCTGTTGAATTGGACTTTTCCCTTCCTTCCTACGATGCCAAAATGTCGGGCTTTGGAGAGGGTACAGAGGCTATCTTGAACAAGAAGACTAGCGATTTGACTGATCCTGGGGCAAACGAAAAGACCAAGCAATCGGAAGCAGCAATGAAAGCCGCAATCGCTCTGAAAGAAAAGAGAACGAAGGAACAAGAAATGAAAAAGCTTCAATACGAGGCCGATAAGCAACGTGCAATTGAGAAGAAAGCTCGGGATGCTGAACGATTGAAAAGCATCTGGAACTAATGTATCCAGACTATGACAATGCTCGAATAATAATCTGTAAATCAAACTGCGCTGCTACAACATGCATTTAGCTTTACGTTGAACGAGACGTCGATGTAGTATGTACAACTAAATATGGTGGAAAGAAAATACATTTATACTGAAGAAGATCAGAGCGAAAGACAAATGTTGGCGGGGATTATGATTGGTGAAAAGGAAATCGAATAGTTCCTTTTTCTTTCAAACTATTTGACACTATTTTAAAACAGCCTACTAAAGACTGCAGGCGTGTAGTAGACTTTTTGACAACATTAAAGAAAAGTATAGCGCCTCTTTTCATGGGGCGAAATGATGGAGTAATTATTCCACTACACCATTTCTCCTCGTCGTTTATTCCGCGATAACGATCGTTTTCTTCTAGAAGCTGATCTCGATCTTCGTCGGCGTTGTTCCTCTTTAGCTTCTCGGGTATAATGGCTCATCGTATCATCTGGAACGTAAAGGCCATTACGGAAGAAGTCTTTCCATACGACAATAGTCTCCTCCCACAACGTTCTTCGGCGCCTTTTTTTTGGATCATTCCTTGAAGTGGGAGGATCCTCAGTAGATGTGTGTTGTGTGGAATTTTGGACATCAGGGTCGGCTGCTGTTCCTCTCTTGGAGCCAGAAACTCTTCTTGTACGACTTCCGTGAGGTCTGCCCTCCTGGTCCAAGATAGGTTGCTTCATTCTTCTTCTTGCATCATACTCTTCTTGTGTTGCGACGTACCGTGGTTCGTCATCGTAGCTGCAACAGCAGGGTGTGCAGCAGATCAACATGAAACAGAATGTCGCGGCTAGAGCAACTCCAATGATCCCAATGAGAACTTCCCAATACTCATCTCCCCATTCGGAAGGTGTTGTATGCCACATACCATCCAAGTCCTCTCCCACTTGGGCAGATGCATTTCCCCATTTGTAGGACAGATCGTTTTTGTACTGTTCATATTGGAAACCATTGTTGTTGTTGTTGTTTCCATTGTAATTTCCATTGTTGTTCTCATTTTGCTCTAAGTATCGTCCTTGAGTTTCTTTAACATCTTGTATGAGAAGGAGACAGAAGGAAACGAGCAAGGATGAAGTCGTCTTCATCATTTGAATGCGACAGTGTTCTTTGCAACTCTGTTGTACAATAACGCGGAGCTGAACGGAAAATTGCCTCCGTCCAAAAAATAGCGATTTCAAACCAATGAAAATGCGGGCGTGCGCTGGTCGAGCTCGCCAATTGACATGATAAAAAAAGTACTTCTTTAGACGTTATGACTTTAGGTTGATTTTAAAAAATTCATTCATTCCGAGGAAGAATATACCGTACGTTATGATTATTCGTCGTCATCCAAATAACCTTGTTTCTCGTCTATGAGGTGGGGTTCCATCCGAATCTTATATCCTCCTTGCAGTGGAGTTATAAGATCAACGATCGTTACCGTCAGCATGGAAAAACTGCCTAGAAGAATCGACCAGCATAATCGCAACTGGAAATCGCCCAACATTAAAAGTGCCGGTTTGTCTGTAAGGATCAAAAAGATCAAACAAATGCCCAGTCCAAGTATACAAATACTTCCATAGTGCCAAACGGGAAAGCATGCTTCGTATAAGTTCTCCAAATTCGTTCGACGTTTGATGACTTCATTTAAACGCTCGTATGCCTCGTCCATTGCCTTATCATTCTTTTCAACTTCTCCATCTTGGTTGAATTCATGCAGCTGGATCATCATGTCTCCTAGAATAATCTGATTTTCGTCGTTTAGCTGTTGCCTCAACTCTGCAGACGTTGAAGGGTCGAGGCATGCTGATTTGAAATTTGCCGTGAATTTCCTGATTAGTTTTCTCATGGACTTCTTGTACTTGGAAGGAAAGAAGTTGGTGTGTAGTGACAAGAGTTGAAGATCGTCTAGGATATTCGCAACTTCCATTGTCATTGCCTCGTATCTATCAAACAACTTTCCAATGGTAGTGGCTACAATCGTGCTGAAAAGGATTGAAACGAGCCCACTAATTGGACCTGTCAACGCAGGCTTGAGTAAGCTGTCTAGTTCCGCTCCACCACTGTTGTGTATGGCGAAGCAATCGTTTGGTTAGTGAGCTAATCTCAGTTGGTTGCCGCACTGTGCGGTAGAAGTACACTCGTGCCATTGCTACGCCGTATCATAGAATCCATTTCAGAACTTACTCGACGAATTCAAATGTCCTTCCAGATGCCTTCACAACAAAGTCATCAAACAACTTTGCTACATCATCATACGTTAGAAATGCTGCAGCTATCGTTATCGGTGGGAACGTAATCACAAAGATTTCTTCGGAATCGAAATCTGGAACAATGTCATTCTTGTCGTTTTCAGATATCGGTGACCCAAAGACATGAAGGGGCAGTGAGGCTTGCTTGCTTGCAATGGATTGGCGCAAACTGTGAGGAACTTGGTCTGGTGCAATTAGTCCATTGCACAAGAGTTGTTTGTTTCCAGCAGTCAGTACGAACAATAACAGGATAGACGAGACGACCATAGTTTGAAGATTTCATTGTGATCCGTTCCAGAAAAATATGGATATGGAACTTTTGAGTGACTTCTCCGACTTCTTCGGAGTACATGTACCGGTACCGGTAATATAGCACGGTCCGCAATGCTCTGGAGTGTCTCTTGGCTTCAGAAGCAACGTCGAAGATGCAATGAAGTATCAAAGACCAGTGTTTCTTCTTCCTCTAGCATTAGTATTCTTGCTGATTGATTGGAATACGAGTACAACTTCCGTTTCGAATGGCTCCAGTAGCGAAAAGACAAGCTCTCTGTCATGTTTTGAACAGTTGCAAGGAGCAGAGAACCAAGGTGTGCAATGGCAAACAGAAAATGAAAACGCTACTTCCAATGGAGGGAAGAAATCGTTGGCTTATAGCTGCCCAAAACTATATTGGGAACATGATACTCATGATTCAACTTGTCAGGTGAATTCATTTGATCCACGGTCATTCCTTTCGACATTTCGTGGAAGAACGCTTGTATTTGCCGGCGACAGCCTTTCAGCACACCCGTGCAAGGATCTGCAAGATACCTTGAAAGGATCAGGATATGACTCTTCACAGGTCAATACTTCTTACAGCTCCGACCCTTTCCGAAAGGGAATACTGCACGGCTGTCAAGAGTTTGAGAACGGTGTTCTGATATGCTGTTCTTGGTTGGCTTTTTCAAATGCGAAGAAAGAACGATACTGGGCAAATATCAAATTGTTTTCAGCAATAAATGGTATTGCCTTGAATGTCCTGGATCCTTCTGATCTAATGATATGGAATACTGGTCTTCATCACACTTCTCATTATTCAGGAACGATCGGTGACATGACATGGTTAGTCAACAACACACTTTCCGATTGGAAGACAAGCAAATCTCTAGCCTCTGTTCCCACTCTTTGGTGGAAGGAGTGCTATGCTCAGCACTTCAAAAACGGGCACTGGGACAGCTGGTCGGATGTCCAAAGGTATAAGACGGCGAAGTACAAGAACCTGAAGAGACAGTGCTATGATATTTCCAAACTGTCAGTTGAGAATGAAACTGGGATCTACAACGAAGCAGCCGAACCAGTTGTCAGGTCCTTCGGCGTTCCTATTTTGCGCGTCCACAAGGCATCCATACCTCTCCACAGGCAACATTTTAATGCGATCGATTGTACTCATTTTTGTTTGGGAAAACATGGACCATATGATCACGATCATGCATTGATGACGAAACTGATCGAAGCGGCAATAGCTGGTGGTAATCTCCCAGCGCTGCCCAAAGAAAGATCCGAAAAGAATCAATTTGATCTCCAACATAGGTGGGATCTGCTGATGGAACACCCTACTGACTCGCTCATGGCAAAAATGGACGTTTGCGCGAAGTCCAAGAAGTCGAAAAGACCACCTTCTTGGAAGGCGGAGAAGGATGGACTTCCTCCTCCGTTGAAGAAATGTTTGAGACACTCAGAGAAAGTCCATGGAGGGGGGTTGAAATCATAGTAGATGTAGTGCCGTAAATAGGTGACTCTATGTACACTCGATCATAATTCTCAATGACAGGGCGACTGAATGCTCGAACTGCTCCCTCAGCACTTCGGATCTCCTTCCCCAGTGAACGAATCGTGTTATGGCAAACGACAAAGGAGTAATGAACATGTATCTGGGTACTACGATAGGCCTTGTAAATCTTAGTGTCCGGAGTCTTTTTCTCGTATAATAGGGGTTGTCAATGAACCCAACCCAACTATTTTTGGTTTATTTTTATTGACCAATAGAAGGGCAGTATTTTTCCCGATATTTGACCACCCCCTTTGAAGCCACGAACCAACTATTTTTGGGAAAAAGCCGGTAGTTTAGGGAGACGTACGATATCTCGTAGATATATTTGCCTACTTATTTTTCGTCGAAAAATAGCATGACCCAACTATTCTTTGTTTAAGTTTGGGCTACGTTTACTCAAAATTGAACTGTTCCACACGATAAATCTAAAACATTGGACAAGAATTGTAAATCTTTTATCCCGCGAATCAATTATCTCCGGGTCATTGAAGACCCAACTATAAGACCCCGATCCGCGAATTCCCAACCCAAAATGTGGCAGGAATTTGGAATTCTGGTGACAAAGTAAAAATTTCAAAAAGCAGCTATGGACCTAGAACCTTTTCAGGTCGCTAGAGAATAGTTTGCCCATTCCTTGTAAAAAATTCCAAGTTGCTAGGAGGTCGTAGAGGGGCTTCACTACAGAAAACAACATTTGTGTAACGGCTAAAAAAGAAACCGTTATCAAGTCGATTGAGTCAATTAGTAAGTCGATTGAGTCAATTCCGATTTTGACTCGTGTGATTACCAAAACGAAAAACAAGAGGTAAGAGGGCGATCTCCTACCATACGACCTTGTTGCGATTACATTTTTAGATAAATTTCCCGGCGATATTATAAATATATACCTAAACTAGACCTCTGCATACTCTAAATTGCGAAAGTGGCTAGATTCGATCACAGGGAAGGAAATTCGACCAAGTCAAAGAGAAACCTTAGGAAAGAGAGAAAAAAATAAGCTAGCCTAGAATCTATTTACCGGCGCAGCACTCCAAAACACCGCCCAAAGTCGATACTAGTTGGTATTTGGACAACTTTGAACTTAGTGCCATGGTGTCTGGGTACTGACTCGGCGACTGAGAAGGATTCCTGACACCAAGTTTCATAAACCTGGATTGACCACTGTAGCAGGGTGATTGCCATTGAATCGCTTGCACGTAGAAATCACCCATTCCAAGCCCCCCAATCTCATCATACATACCCATGGACGACAACTGTATGTTGGAATGAAGAATTCTGAGGAAATTCGGTCCACACCAATACCATTTCCCATTTTGGACCGAATTTCACTGAAAACTCTTCCCATTTTTGTTAGATCATTCTTGATCTAGGCCGAAAAAATGTAAAGAAACCAGAAAATAGAAACAATAGGTATCCAAGGGACCTTCTGGTGTATTGTTGAATGTATAGTTGTCTCCAGGGCGGCCACACCGACCCTCATGATGACAGGTGACACGACAGCAGCAAACATTCGGATTCAAAAATCTCAGCCAATATTCCATAGAAAAAGCAACCGAATGGATCTCCGAGTAGGTATGGTCACTGCGAAGCTTTCCAGCACATGTTGCATATGAGGCCTTGCCCTCTTGACCTTCTGCTGACCAGATTAAGCAACCCAACAGAACATGTTTGGCGAATTTTGGTAGATTGTAGTGTAATGGAGGCGAAAGGAATAGTGAATCGCCGCTCCAGCCATAGTCCATCTATCAAACATGCTTGCCATAACATGTTATTCAGTTTTTACTTCTCTGGGCGCCCACACCGGCTACCCATTGTGATGGACGAATTCCCAACTCAATATTGTCGTGTGAAAATCGTCCTGTAGGAGCCCAGATACCGCACATCAAATGATACCACCGTCTTTCCTATAACATAATAAGCAACTTCCGAAGAAAATTTGACATCTTTACTGCCTTGCGACTGCGTGGGGTCCCAAATCCATGCAAAAACCGAATTTCAGACCTCGTTTATGTGTCTTTTGCAGTCATTTCAGAGGTGAAAGGAACAAACTCGTCCATTTCACCTCATACAAACAAGATAGATACGGTCACGACAAAGGCCGCTTCCAAAATGCAAGAGTTTTCCTCCCGAGGGTGGTGATTTCCTCGGCCTGAAGGCATACCATTGTTGGTGGAAAGAAGAATTGATGTGATTGAAGACGATCTCAACTGAAGGGCGCATAGAGGTGCGCGAAGAGTTAGACGTCTGATTACGTACGGAAAATACTGGTTCGCGCGCAAATTCTTGCTAAAGTACCAGGCGCCTCGTTGAATTTTTGCGTGGAACCAAAATGGAACCCAAAAACATCCGAGATTTCTGTTTTTTCCAAAACCACATCAAATTCACGTTGCTTGAAAGCAGAAGCAGAATGGGATTTTAATCTTGCTACTGCACTGCTTAGCCTACAAAAAGGAATGTAATTCATTGGATCTATTACCAAGCCTACGCAACGTTGCCTACATATTCTTCCAATTCATCCCAGTCTCTACTCACCGGCACACAAGCACCGTCTTCGCCGTCCTCGTCAACATCATCTTCAAAAGATTCAATTTCTTTCATGAAGTCCATCGCATACAACACCTGTTCTTGGTTCAGTTCTACGCGATCCGTCCGGTTGCCTTCGAAGTAAACCTCGCCATCAAACTCGACAATATAGTTCGCAGTGTTGACGGTTTTGCCATCTTCTTTCACGAGGTTAACATCCACCACTCGACCAACAGCCGGCTTGTTGTCATCAACTGCCACAGCAACTCGGATACAAAGGTAGCTCTCCAACATAACAATCAGCTGATGTTCGACCTCTTCCGCCTCCCTCTTTTCATTCTCTCTTCCACGGATCAAATCCTCAAAATCTCTGCTCTGAGCTTCAATGATTCAATGAAAAATTCGGCAGGAAGCTCCACGTCTTTGCCATTTGTCTGGATCAATAATTTCAGAGCCTCCGCCTCTGATTCTTCTCTGATACATTGGACCGTTTTGGCATTCTCCACCTTCATTTCGCTCTTGATTGCCGCCAATTCAGCTTGGAGTTTTTCGTCAGCTTCGACTTGAGCGTCTTCTGCTGTGGTCTGTTGGATTTTCCCGACGGTGTCATCGTAGGTTGTCCTTTTTGGGCGGCCGCTTTTGTGTGGTGTGACAGTAGGCATGCAGTATTCGAGGCCGTTGATTGATTTCTTCCTGATTCTTGTAGATGTAGCAACAGTGTGGGCTTGGCATTGTTTGTCGTTTGGCAAATCTGGCCGAGGAGGAGCTTTACAACGTTTACACGAGTCACAGGCCGTACACCACTGCTTTCCACTTGCATGGGTACAAAGGTACACTCTTTTCTTCTTGTGATGGGACCGTGGAGGTGTCTCCTTGGCGTTCCTCTTTCCACGTCGCGTTGCCATCGTGAATGATGATGACGAGTCATGAATTTCATCCTCCCTCAGTCAAAAATTGGCGCGAATTAGTTTCAAGCATAGGGCTGATATCCTCAGCCCAATGCGCTTCTATCTGTCCAATCGGCGTCGTTATGCGACGTCTTCTCAAAATGACCATTTTGGATCTCTATGGTGCTATTTTTTTGGAAAATGCCAAAATTTGGGTGGAAAGGGTGGGAAATTCGCGGATCGGGGTCATAAAATATAGTTGGGTCTCTTTTCGGCACAACTATTTTTTTCTTTCTGACCCAAACCAACTATTTTTTTTTTTGGCTCGACCAATCACAGCTGCCCAAAAAAAAGAAAAAGAGTTGGGTTGGGTTCATTGACAACCCCTAAAATACAAATCAAAGAAAGCATGTTGGAAACGTCAAAGATGCAATGAAATCTCGAAGCGTCTTTCTTCTTCCTGTGGCATTATTAATCTTACTGTTGGGATCGAAAACGACTACAATTTCCGTTTCGAAGGGTTGCAGTAGCAATAAGGAAAGCTCTCTATCATGTTTTGACCACTTGCAAAGAGCAGACAACCAATATGTGCAATGGCAACGAGTAAATGAAAAACCCACTGATCGAAAGAAGAAGGCCTTGGCTACGCGCTGCCCAAAATTATCTTGGGAACATGATACTCATGATTCTTCTTGTGAGGTGAATCCATTTGATCCACGGTCATTCCTTTCGACCTTTCGTGGAAGAACGCTTGTGTTTGCCGGCGACAGCATGTCATTTCACCACTGCAAGGATCTTCAAGATGCCTTGAAAGGCCCAGGACATGGATCTTCACAGGTCAATAGTACTTATAGTTCTGACCCAGTCCGAAAGGGAATACTGCATGGCTGTCAAGAGTTTAAGAATGGTGTTCTGATATGCTGTTCTTGGTTGGCTTTTTCAAATGCTACGAAGGAACGGCACTGGGCGAATCTAAAACTGTTTTCAGCAACAAATGGAATCGCCGTAAATGTCCTGGATCCTTCTGATCTAATGGTATGGAATACTGGCATTCATCACACTTCTCATTTTGCAGGAACGATTGATGACATGACAAGTTTAATAAACAACACACTTTCCGATTGGAAGACAAGCAAATCTCTAGCTTCTGTTCCCACTCTTTGGTGGAAGGAGTCCTATGCTCAGCACTTCAAAAAGGGGCACTGGGATAGTTGGTCGGATGTCCAAAGGTACAAGACGGCGAAGTACAAGAACCTGAAGAGACAGTGCTATGACATTTCCAAAATGTCAGTTGAGAATGAAACTGGAATCTACAACGAAGCAGCCGAACCAGTTGTCAGGTCCTTCGGCGTTCCCATTTTGCGGGTGTACAAAGCTTCTATCCCTCCACAGGCAACACTTTAATAAAGCGATCGATTGCACTCATTTTTGTTTGGGAAAGCGTGGACCATTTGACCACGATCATGCATTGATAGCGAAACTGATCGAAGAGGCAATAGCTGGTGGTAGCCTTCCAGCGTTGCCCAAAGAGAGGTCCGAAAAGAATCAATTTGACCTCCAACAGAGGTGGGATCTGTTGATGGAACATCCTACTGACTCGCTTATGGCAAAAATGGACTTTTGCGCCCCCCCATATTCCAAGACATCGAAAAGACCGCCAGGTTGGAAGGTGCATAAGGATGGACTGCCTCGTCCAATGGAGAAGTGTCTTAAAAATACAGCGATACTCCATGTAAAAGGGACGCTGGGATAGCTGGTCGGCTATCCAAAGGTATAAGACGGCGGAAATATGCGAAAGTCCCTTGTGACTTTTTCATGTTTCCCACAAGGAACGATGAGCAAAACAAGCTCCACCCCTTTACTACTTCCGTTTCGAATGGCTCCAGTAGCGAAAAGACAAGCTCTCTGTCATGTTTTGACCACTTGCAAGGAGCAGAGAACCAAGGTGTGCAATGGCAAACAGAAAATGAAAACGCTACTTCCAATGGAGGGAAGAAATCGTTGGCTTATAGCTGCCCAAAACTATATTGGGAACATGATACTCATGATTCAACTTGTCAGGTGAATTCATTTGATCCACGGTCATTCCTTTCGACATTTCGTGGAAGAACGCTTGTATTTGCCGGCGACAGCCTTTCAGCACACCCGTGCAAGGATCTGCAAGATACCTTGAAAGGATCAGGATATGACTCCTCACAGGTCAATACTTCTTAAAAAAAAAAATCGAAGAGGCCATATCTGGTGGTAGACTTCCAACGTTGCCCAAAGAAAGACCCGAAAAGAATCAATTTGACCTCCAACATAGGTGGGTTTTGCTGATTGTGTACCCTACTGACGAGCGAGCAAGACGCCGAAGGCGCATACGCTTTACAGGCGCAGTTACAACTAGAAGAGAGCTGGAAGTAGGAAGCCGTAACTAGTTCATGGCAAAAATGCCATTGGCGTTGAAGAGTTGATATCCCGAAGAGAAGCAGTGCCAGCCAGTCAGTGCCGACGCCAGTAATGAACCCTCTACTCTAGTATCTACAGTAGCCAGATCATTCGATTTATTCAATCTAAATTCGAAAATCTGACGTCAGTTCAGCGCACTACTTGTACACTACTTTACTGTACAGTTTCGGGACTTTGTTCGTTTACGTGCGACTGACAGACGGGGCTGATCACACGACGATGGCTGTTCACTGTTGCTGTTCCCTGTTCTATTCTCAAAATTCTCAAGTCAAGAAATGACGAATTGGACTTCCTTGAGAGTGAATAACAAAAAACGAGAATAAACTTCAAACCCACCCGCACTCTCGAATCACACCAATGTGCACTACCTACAGTGAATAATGTCTCAAAACAAAAAATTTGCTGTCGTTGTTTCACTGATGATCATAGGATGCTGGAACAGCCTTCGAAAAGCATCGAGGGTCCTTTTGACAGATGATGGAAACAACCAAGAATTTGTTCTCCCTCGGTTGGCGGAAACCAAGAACCATGAATCACGCACATTATTACTAGAGAACCAGGACCGGGAGATAACGCCCACTTTTGAAAACCCCCTAGTGTCTAGAGTACAGAATGCATCCGACATCCCCACCAACCAACAACAGCAAAAACAAGCTGAACCATCGTGGACCTCATACGACGCTTCACAAGAGCCATTTGGTGATTCCTTCTCCTCTTGCCTAATTTGGATGGATGATTATCAACAGCTCGGTGAATGGATTGCATATCATTATCACGTTTTGCCACTGCGCTATCTGGTATTCTTCCGAGATCCCAAGAGTCAACTGGACCCGAAACCTATTTTCGATAAGTGGAAAGATCGGATCCATGTGGAATACTGGGCTAACGAAACAGACTTTATGACAAAAGATATCCACCGAGAATACATGAGAATATCGGATGCAGGCAAGAGATTTCACTCTGGGCAGAACATGTTTTACCACGCCTGTTTGGGTCATTTGCAACAACATAACCGCACATGGACGGTTGTCATTGATACGGACGAATATTTGTCTTTGGACTCGGCTAATGTGCCCAATGTTACGGACAGGCTTCTAGAACCTGGTGCTGCGTTGAACTTGATCAAGCGTGTCCATGCCCGAGACCCATCCACCGGAATCACGGACAAGACTCCCGAAAAGTGGTTTCATAATTGCACTTCAATGGGTCGAATAGAATACACTTCCTATGAAAGCCCTACGAGGGCAGTGCTTAAGGACGTCCCCTCTGGTATTGATCCCTATCGCCTGGTCACTCTTCGATTCCGACATGCCGGGCGTGGATTGATTGGAAAGTCCATAGTCGACGTTTCCCACTTGAACATGACCCAACTGAAATGGAAAACCATTTCCACGCACAAGATGTTTCGCGGCTGTTTGGGTGTTTGGGGCAATCGGCGGGACCTCATGTATGTGGGACACTATTTAGGATCCGTGGAGGGCTACCAACGACCTTCGGATTATCGCGTTTGGATCAACCGAACGCAAAAATTGATCAGACTGAATGGAAAGAGCGGCCGCAAAATCAAGGAAGGTAAGGGCGACGACATTCGACCTTGGATTCAAGGATTCGCAAAGGATGTAGGTGTGGAGAAGTTGCGCTATTTTCTGGGCGATGTTGGGTTCCCTTTGAATCCTACTACCGCAATGGGGCAGTTACAATAGAGTTGCGAGAAATTGACTGTTGAATCTTCTCATCCTTTTGCGGATTCCGAACTCTTGTCAACATTGGGATTTGGTGCCCGGCATCCCTTCTCTGTCAAGTGAAAGATTCCTGTATCGATGCGGAATTCTGGACTTGTACTTTCTGCGATGGAATAGGTTATTCTTTTTGTACTAGCTACTACTAGTAGCTAGCATATTTTTGTCATGGAGCTAGCATGTATTGAAAGCGGATTCAACTGTTTCAACTGCTGTGTGTACAAATGCTGTAAGGAACTCACTTAACCTTTCATCGTTTATGTATGAAAATGAAACCGGAAGTCAATTGACCAGCGATGAAACAAGTCAACTATGACCGATGACTCATTTTCATGTTGTTTTTGAAACTCGGTAACTGCATACCAGGTACCTGTTAGATAATAAAAGACCCTATGATACTCTGAGGCACTTAGTCTTCAGTTGTTCGGCGTAACGTAGTCCTAATACTACCAGTATGAACCTTAAAGTCGTCAATAAAACTTGCTTTAGTTGGGATAAGAGTTTCGAATGATCAAAGCAAACTCACGCTTTTGGTCATCCCAAAAACTCTCTACACAGTTTTAACTACTGTAATTCAATTGTTCATCTTACGAACAGCATCTGCCCATGACTGGTTCTCCATACTCTCACGGTTGATGTATGACGGTTTAGACTCATCACTATCTGACTCAGGGGTGTCAGAAATATGAGAATACAACTAGCTGTGGGTGCCTCAACGCCCCTAGTTCTTGATTCTCTCCTGAAATAAGATCTTTGGCGGCTAGGGTATTAGCTCCTGTATCGATAACCATCTATCTATACTATAGCAAACCATACATCAGTACTATTACTCTATCAATTCATATCCATTTAGGATTCTGTTCAGATTGTGAGCTTGATTGATTGGGAATCAAATGAGGGCTGACACCTCATATTCCATCGATCACGTAGCTCTTTCCCTAGACCTTTGTACTCAAGTGACAACTCTTGACACCAATTTCGGTTTTAGAATCTCATACATATATTTTACAACCTTCTTCTGCCCGGCCCCAATCTCAAGGCTTTCCAGATGCGTGTTGCGCTTGCCCAATGTTGGATTCCGTAGCATGATGTCGCCACATCCATCAGGTACACCTCCGCCCACGTAAATTACAAAATCAGAGTCACCCGACAAGATTGCATCAACATTGCCATCAGTTGCACACTTTGCGATGGCTGGATCCCGCTTGCCATAAAGACTTTTGAAGCACTATGCTGCTTCCATTCGTGCTTGCAAAAGACTTCACCAAATCATCAATTTTGTCAATGGAGTCCGGGGGAGGACCTCTCTGCTGCTGATTCTGTTTTATCAATTTCTCCTTTTGCGCTAGAACTGCATTGGTTGGATTGGGATGGTTGATCAGATTTGCTAGGGTTGCCCGGTTCTCCATAAGGTGTCTTCTTGCAACACCATCTTGATGGGCCCTTTTCGAATGATGGCGAACTGGACAGTCCGCATCTAGGATCACATCCACTCTCTCTGCAAAGAATGTTGCAACAATGAAGACTGTTCTAGCTGGACACAAGATTGATTTCCTCAAAAAGAGATATCCGAGCAGAGATATATCAATTGAGATTCTTGGACGGATCCTTGTGGTATGATTGTTGTATCGACGGAGGCGGTGATGTTGCTCCAATAAATAGATAATAGTAAGAAATTCTACCTTGGAAGACTTCCAAAGCAAGTTATTTTGATCGTTAATACCCATCAGTAGTACGAATAATGCCGTAAAGTGGAGCCATTGTCATTATGTTTCGGTGTGTTTCGTTTCTGATCGTGACTTTTTTGACGAAGAATCCAAATCGCCCGAACTTTTTGGCCTAAGGGGGGTCCATTGTAGTAGTGGTGACACTGTCATGGTTTGTTGGTGTGTAGGTGGTTTGTTGTTATGCAATTTTGGACTGCCCATAGTTTGATCAATTTGACCAATCCCTCCCCTGCAATTTCCCACACTAGTAGCTAGTATTATTACCAAACAGAAAAAAATTGGCCCAATCCAACAAACATTCCACAACTATCAAACAAGATTTTTATTCATAATGCATCATAGCTATATAGCGTCATGTGGTTATCACTGTTTTGTGGCACATTCATGAATTCTAATGTAAATGTGCACAGAAATATCTGGAACAATGGTAAGCTCCAACAATAGTGACTTTCTCCTCAATATCAGATGCGAGGCTTTTGTATTTTGGTTGTCTTTTCTTCAGTTGCCTTTCGTTTCTTTTGCTTCTCTTTCTCTCCATCTGATGGTTGTCCTCTAACGATGTCATCTAGACCTGCAAGCAACTTGTCCAAATAGCCAGTCACTTCATCTGTTTTCCTTACAATGCCTTGCGTTTCTGCTGCTTTTTTTGTCTTTAATTTTGGGCGGAGTCGCAAGACTTGCCCTGTAAAGTTATTCGTGGTGGTCTCGCTATCAGCTTCTCGATGGGCACCCAAAAAGCTGTGAGAAGCAAGAACTTCTGACATTTCATCTTGAACTCCTGTCAACTCCCAGAATGCTTCTGTCAATCCAAATATGTCATTGGTTGGTATCCGCAGCACTTTGGATACTGCCATTCCCTCTTCAAGATTCTTGACGCAATCTGGTTTCAAAGTATAGTCTCCATCTTTTGACTTGACAGATGAACCAAACACTACCAAGAGGCAAAGGGCACCAAGCTCGCTACCACCTTCCACCGCTTCGAATTTTGCTTTCATCTTGTCACATTCGATGCTCGCAGATTTTGGACAGAAACACAAACATCGGAACGTATTGGTACTTTTTTGATGAGGATGAGCGAGTGGCGGTGACGTCGCCTTTTCTTGGTGCTGTCTAACGTAGACGAAAGCTCGAGAACGAATCATTGGATTGATTCCTTTCATCATACTGACGACGGTCGAACGACCGTCACAATAGCATTGCTCAGCAACACCAAGTCCGATCAGTTTATCGAACTTGTGTGCGAGTATACGTCAAGAAATAAGGTTTATTTCTTTCTTTCCCTCCCTCCACATCCCTGTTGGGCCTTACATCGACGCATTCTACGTCTCTGTAAGGCCTAGTAGGCAAGCAAGTCTTTGATATTCCGCTTCGCGGAATATCAAAGACTGGCCTTTTGGAACCGCACGCTTCGCGCGCAATCCAAAAGACCAGCTTCACACCACAACCCACCAGAGTCACACCAAGAAAGAATCCCTCACGGAAGAAACCAGGCGGCAGGCGCCAGTTGGCTATCTTCGATAGCCACTGATATTTGCAATGCAAATACAACATCAATGACACTGCAACCTGCAAACACATAAAATCCCACACCCGTTTTGTACATGTTTTCCACGAACACTTCATTCTGAAGTAAAGACCACGAGTCATCATACGCACGGGCATAATTACGACAGACTTGGATGGCACTGAAATGGACCTGGCAATCGTTATTTTGAGTCATCATGTCGTCACCGTTGTCACCATCATCACCACTACGACCCCTATTGATTAGACATTTGATCCAATCATTTAGTGGTACTGAGAAAGTAGTGTAGTCCTTATTGTCCTTCAAACTACCTCGGACAATATCCGCACAGAACAAAAAACACAAAGCCACCATGACTTCCCCAAAGTCTCCCTTTTCCGGTGAACAAAAATGGTCTGAAAACAGGTCCTTCATCTTCTGTACCCACCATACTTTTGGTCTTCCATTCAGAGTCGTGTCTTTTGAAAGAGCCATGGACCAACTATCATCCATGAGACACATTGCCAACCGCGCACAAACAGGATCTGGTGGGAAACAAATTTTGGCACTTTGCTTGTCATTGCCGTCGACTGTGGCAGGGCTAACCGAAACAAGGTTGGCGTAAGAACGGCTCACAAGACCAGAAGCTGCAGCAAATGTCGTTTGTCCCATCTGCACTCGTGTGCCCAACACACTAAGCCAGGCCGTTGCTGTATTTTTGAATGCGCTTGGTGAAGCATCTTGAACAATACGTTGTACAATGATTGACTCGCCAGCTTTCAGTTCTTGTTCGGACACGGCAGCAAAAAGAGGCCGCCCGCGAGGAACGACGACGCTGTATTCGGCCAGATGGCCATCAGTCGATTTGATCTTGTTTCTCATTGTGGTAGTCACGTTGCTCATGATTAACTGAAACATAGCAATTGTCTTAGTCCAAAAAGCATCCGTCCAATCTTTGTACTTGTCCATCAACGGATCGTACGCTTTGACCTTTCTGGGGTCTGCCTCTTCTGCAGCCGTTAATGGGTCAGGCTCCTTTATCTCAGGCTCCGCCTTTTCTTCCAGAATGTAGCCCACATCACCTCCGTCCGCCCACCTGATGATTACTGTGTCTGTCAGGCTTATCAAGAAGTCCTCGAGGTCTTGCTATGTTCCGTCTTCCTCCGACTCGGGCGCCTTCAATTGCTTGAGCCCCTTTACCGTAGTCCATCTGTATCCCATAGAGCTCATGGCGATTCCAGATCTTTTTTCTTCTTCTTCTTCAATTTCGCTTTCTTCAAGTTCTGTGGGATTCTCTTGATCGTTTGTGTTGCCGTCTTTACTGTGACAAACTTCTTTTCAAACGATTCGATTATTCCAATCGTTTCCTGCCCTTTCTTAGGCTTCTTTATCAATACTTTATCACTGATTTTCAATGTGATGCTTTCGTCGCTCCTCTCCTTGCCGAGGTCTATTATCAACTTATGGACCTTTGACTCTATTTCTTTCAAGTCTTGAGCAAGCTCGTTCTTGCTCTTCTTGGTCATGTACCGTTGAAATGTAGCGATTGTTGTTCAGATATGAGAAAATGTATATATTTTCAAAAACTTTTATGTTAGATAATAAAAGACCCTACGATACTCTGAGACACTTAGTCTTCAGTTGTTTGGCATAACGTAGTCCTAATACTATGAACCTTAAAGTCGTCAATAAAACTTGCTTTAGTTGGGATAAGAGTTTTTGAATGACCAAAGCAAACTCACGCTTTTGGTCATCCCAAAAACTCTCTACACAGTTTTAACTACTGTAATTCAATTGTTCATCTTACGAACAGCATCTGCCCATGACTGGTTCTCCATACTCTCACGGTTGATGTATGACGGTTTAGACTCGTCACTATCTGACTCAGGGGAGTCATCTGTACGACTTCCAACAGGTACCGGTATCAGTATCATTTTTGCACTGACCTCTACGGTCGAAGAAGTCGAAGACGACACAAAAAATGATGCATTTTTTCATGCGTGATGGGGCTGTAAGAACTATTGACATGCGATGAGTCATACCCTGAAGGTGTCAAGACATGATGAAAATCTGTACAGGCTTGTGTTGAAAGGCTGTCTCTAGCAAATACAAGACGTCTCTCCCTCTTGTGGATTGCTTCGACGAGATCCCCGATGGTCAAGGATGTGCTCGGAAGACGAGCAAATCTCTAGCCTCTGTCCCTACTCTTTGGTGGAAGGAGTCCTATGCTCAGCACTCCAAAAAAGGGCACTGGGACAGCTGGTCGGATGTCCAAATGTATAAGACGGCGAAGCACAAGAACCTTAAGAGACAGTGCTATCAAACTGTCAGTTGAAAATGAAACTGGAATCTACAACGAAGCAGCCGAACCAGTTGTCAGGTCCTTCGGCGTTCCCATTTTACGGGTATACAAAGCTTCCATACCCCTCCATACACAACATTATAGGGTGACTGACTGCACTCGCTTTTGCTTTGGTGATCGTGGACCATATGATCACGATCGCGCATTGATGACGAAACTGATCGAAGAGGCCATAGCTGGTGGTAGCATTGGTGGTAGCCTTCCAGCGTTGCCCACAGAGAGGTCCGAAAAGAATCAATTTGACCTCCAAATTAGGTGGGATCTGTTGATGGAACATCCTACTGACTCACTCATGGCAAAGTTGAATTATTGCGCAAATTCCAAAAAGTCGACAAGACCGCCGTCATGGAAAGCGGATAAGGACGGACTTTCTCCTGCGTTGGAGCAATATCTGAAGAACTCGGAGATAGTCCATAGAGGGGGATGAAAGCAGACAAGACCACCGTCATGAAAAGCGGATAAGAACGTACCCCCATGCGTTCAAAAAAAGACTAATAAACTCGGAGATAGTGCATTGCGGAGGATGAAAGCAGAGCACGGAGCATGGGTGAAGCATGGGGAAATGAAGACTATTAATTAAGTTCAATACATTCAATCACGATTCTATACTCAATCTATGTCTACAAGTTTTGCTTGGTACCACTGTCGACTAACAGTGGCAGCTCTCTTCTATTTCAATTCGATTCTCCACTGGAATCCTCATCGACGACGGAAATTCAACTCGAGAGTAAAAGTCTGATCTTGAATTCTTCGTCGCGTCAAAGCCAAAGAGCTCGATTTGCCATGGTTCTCGTCGGAAGAAGTTGCGCTCGGCCCCTAGGCGATACCCTCCAGTCTCAGAGTTTACAGGACCGAGAAGAGGGTGTTCATCGTGTTCGCGTTTCATTGAAACCTCTGCATGGCGAAGGCACTCGTCTCGAAGTCGTGTATTTTTCATGGCCGACGCAATGGTGGCCCATAGTTTCCATACCTGTGACTTGCCCAGCGGCATTGCGTTTTCCTTCATGCAAACACCAATGCAGTGCTGTGCCAAAATGTACTTTCTCCGACTGCAATCGAAACGGGCCATGCAATAAAGAATGAAAGACCGCAATTCCGCGCCTTCTTCGCCCTGATTCGTTTGCCGCATAGCTTGGTCAAACAATACTTCCGCACGAGGCAGATTTCCATTGTGCCATTCGCAGACTGCCCAAAGAGTGTAAAGCTTCGCCAGATCTTTCCAGTGTGAAAGGCCTCCGTCTTCCGAGCTAGCGATAACATTTGCTCCCTTGTACAGTATCTTACTAGCGCTCTTGTAGTCACCCTTGGATATTTCGAACTCTGCCAGCTCTTGGAATGCCTGAATTTGGCTGTGGTGACAAATGAAACGAAACCAATGTGAGGGATGATCAAACGGAGGGGGGGGGGGGTTACACAAAACAAAACAAAACGAAACAAATGGAACTCACTTTCGATGTTCCACATCACAGGCTTCGGTGAAAAGGCTTCTAGCCTGATCGTAGTTTCCATTCGAAGCATGATACTTGGCCCAGGTCAATGGCAGCTCTATGGCCATTGGAAAGGCAGCCAATGCTCGTGAAAAAACAGCATCGACGTTTGCAGCAGTCCCGTGCCTCTGTTCGAATCGAGCCCAGTTTCTGAAAACTTTGAGAAAACGATCGCCCGATCGATACCTTGGAACCGCTTGCTGCATCAGAGATTCAAAATCCATGATCTCCATTCCATCAAATACGAGGAAAGAAGACTTTGATTGTCCGGGTATCTCGTCATTTTCTCGCATTCTTGTGGATCCTCCCTGATACTTTGCTCTGTAACGTTTTCCCGATTCGATCAATTGAGCTTCGTACTGGGTGATTGCCTGAACACAAATGGATCGTGCCACGTCAATGTTTCCTTGGGATTCTTCTAGCTGGGCAAGTGAAACCCATCCTTGAGCATGTCTACCATTGTTGAGTCGGATAGATTTTCGAAGCCACTTTCGCGCATTGTTGATTTCCTCCTTTTCAAATGCCACCGCTGCCAATGCTGAAAAGGCAAAACAATAGTTGATCGGCGATCCATGTTCCAAGGAACGATAATAGGACCGTTCCGCATCGTCCAACAACCTTGCTCCTCGGTAAATATCTCCCAAAGCATGGTACAATTGATGATTAGTGGGGCAGTATTTGATTCCTTGTTTCAGTATTCTCATGGCTTGAGCAATATTTCCCTCGGAGTGTTCAAAAGTACCCAAGGCGTGATAAGAATGTGCAAAGGTAGGATCCAGCTGAATTGCTTTTTGGTAGGCCCTTTTGATTCTCATTTTCGAGTCGTTTGAGCCGCCGTGATTGTTGTGATCCAACAATTGTGCTAGACCATGCCACAACCAAGGATTTTCTGGTTGCTTTTGAAGCCCCGTTTGCAGTACCGATCGGGCCTTGATTGTTTCGCCTTGTTCGTTATAAATGCGAGCGAGTCTGCGGTACACTCTGCCATCGTTCGGTGTGACAGTCAACAAAGTTTGCAGAAGTTGAATGGAAGTTTCTCGATCTCCAGCCTGATCCGCGTGTTTGGATGCCATGTATATTTCTTTGGCTCGGACATTGGAAGAATATTGGGAAGAAGGAGTTTCCAAAGTCTTTTTCAGTTTTTGCAAGTACTCCTTGGACGAGGATAACGACGAGTCTGCGTGCCTGTTCCGCAACCGTTGCTGTTGTTCCTCTTGCTGTTTCTTACTCGCTGGCGGAATAGATCCTTGTCGCTTTAGTCTATGAATTTCCCTTCGTTTTTTGCGCAAGGACTCCAAGTCCACAGTTCGAGACCATTCCTCCAACGAGTTGGGCGACTTGGCAGAAGCTTCCATCTCGTTACTTCGAATACTATATTCGTCTTCGTCCAAGAGCATTTCATCATCATCGTCGTCTTCGTCATCAAACCATTCCGCAACAAAGTCTTTTGGTGGCTGCTGCTTTCGTTGTTTTTGTTTTTGTTGTTGTGCAGCACTCCAATCCAATAGACGATCCTGCAGGTCTGCCTTGTTCCCCATCTACAACAGAGAGAAAGAGAGAATAAATACATTCATTTCAGTGTGAGTATAATATGTATTCGATCAATCAAGCAATTTTAATCAATCAACAATGCAATACGGTATCACCTCCACCATCCTACATTTTGCATTCTACATACCTTGAGTAGACCTCGTTTGGCACATGCTTCTTTGAGTTCTGGCACCTTGAACGCCAAGATTTGCCCCTTGGAAAGAATCTCGAGTCCATTGTCCTCTTGCCGTATTGTTGTTGTTGTTGCTGTTGTCGTCGTGATCGTGGTAGCATTGCTATTATTATCCTTAATGTTACCATGGGCCAAACGAGCATTCATGGCTTGAAATCCAATGTCTCCCGCATCCGCATTGTTCCAGGTTTCCAAATTGACATTGGAAAGCCCCACCGGAGACTGGAATACATCAAATCCCAAGACGCCATAGGTTTTTTTAGGAATGGACGATTTTGAGTCAAGTAGTGTATCGTCCACTGGCCGACTCTGAACCAGCTGACTGGTGGTAGTAAGGAGTGAGGAAGGAAAGCGTGAATGGTCCAATAGCATTCGAATCGAGTTTGCAGCAGCACCCCCATTGTCTTGCATGCGAAGATCCATCGTCATGGCGGTGGCTGCTTTCCTTCGTTGTTGTTGTTGTTGTTGTTGTTGTGTAGTACTAGTAGTAGTAGTACCGAACAAGACTGGATGATTCAGCGCAGTCGCAGTGGTTGTCGATGGAAAGATGGTAGTGGAAGAAGAGTAATAGGTACTCCTTCGAGTAGCTGTTCCTGCCCAAGCGTCACAGGTTGGATGTAATACAACAGCAGTCGTCAAGAGCAGTGTTAGAAAGCTTGGCATTCCCACAATCATCATTGCATTGGAATTATTGGAATTGGCGTTCTGTGTGGGCCTTCTTTGGTTCACAACAACGTGATCAAGATTAATCCTCGTAGTGGTTGTGGAAGAATCTCCAGCATGACTGGTATTGTTAGCAGTTGTGCCGGTAGTCGTTTGCCAGTTGTCTTCAATGGCAAATCTTCCCATTGGAGCAGTAGTGAAATGTGTGCGTGTGTGTGTCGTGTCGTGTCGTGTCGTGTGGAAAAAGCTGCTGATTGGATCGTGTCAATTTGTTTGTGTTTGTGTTTGTGTTTGTGTTTGTGTTTGTGTTTGTGTGGGTTTGGAAAAGTTAAAGTTTGATGACTGAATGTGCGCCCCAAGGACTTTTTCGTTCTAGACTCTTAGGGTCTCGTTGTTGTTGCTGCTGCTGCTGCTTTTGTGTACTGTAAGTATCTGTAGATATGTTCCGGTATAGTCACTTCACTTATAACAGCTGACAGAACTTTTAATAGAGTGTACAACGTAGCTGGCTTGCCGAATTAATTTGATTCTTGATGCGGTGTCGAGCAGATGAAGTTCTTCGTCAAAAGAAGGGAGGACAACTGTTTTTCGGGTGATGCGCACCGACGAAAGTCCACGTCACAGGTTTCTCCTACTCTTGCTCCACGTGGAAAAATGCGACAGGGAAGGACTGGCGGACAGACCGGAACGGGCTACAACAATAGTATCTTCAGCGACAAATTGTTGGACTATCGCTCGAGTATCGTATTGTAACCAAGGTGACGCGATTCTCAATCTCATGAGGAACTAGCTTGAAGCTCGACGAATGAATGAGTCCAACAAATCCATACTGTATTGGCGCTTATCGTCTCATCTGGCCATGCTTTCCACCAGTCTGGTGAATCCATCCATCCATCAATTAATCATTTTGCCCAGCCTATTGACTGGCGAATTCCAGTAAGCAATTCACTAAGTACGAAAGTCATGGCATGCTACAAGGCGAAAACAAACATTTGAAGATTATACTATTGTTAGTACGGTATATTATGTGTGGTTCCAAGGCATATCCTTTCGTTGGCTTGCTCTTCAAGCAATGCCAAAGTTGGTACTGTACCACATCAGCATGTATTTTTTTAAACGGTTTCGATGCAAGGGAGATGTCCAAATTCAAAAAGAGCTGGTTCGTATTAATAGGCGCCAACCATGTCCATATCTTGGGTGGCCAAGATATCATAGATACAGTCCTTGCGATCCAACTCGTCCTGAAGTCCCGCACAGGCAGCTTCGGCTTGTTCCTCGGTAATGTCAGACTCGGCCAAGCGACGAGTGCGATCACCACGAGGATCCTCAGGGAGCAAGCATAGTTCAGGGAACTGAGGGTGGGACGCTTCACGGAACAACTTGCCATCGGAAGGGAGAACCTGCCACTCCATGCCCAAGTCGTTGAAGTCGTTGATCGTGGTGGATCCATCACGGGAAAGGGTCTTTCCAGTTGAAAAGTCTCCAATGATACCGACCGAAGAACCGAAGGATTCCGGACTGGCTCCATGGATCTTGACGCCAACAAACTCCTTGAAGGTCTTGATCTCAATCGATTGGCCGGGATAGGCACTGTCAAGATCAATGGTGTACACGTTGTTGCGAGGACTAATGGTCACAGGAAAGCCGGCAAGCCCTTCCGTGAGGGGTCCACGATATTCGTAGTTGATCCAGTAATGACGCTTGTCCAAACCGTCTTCCTTCGCAGCCGATCCTTCAATTTCCAAAATGTCATCGCCGATGCGAATGGCAGCAGTCTTGATAAAGCTCCAGTGACGGACCATCTTCGTACGGAGGTGAATGTCAAGGTCCATGTCTCGGTTGGCAAAGTTTTTGACAGAAGACATGACGACATCACACTGTCCATGGAACTCAAAGTGCTCGTTCTTCCATGTACGGACTGGAATGAATGAATCATGGGAAGAAGGGGGTTGTTAGTTGTGTGTGATGATCAACGCAAATGGTGAGAAGCAAAGGGGACAGTACTTACAATGAGGATCGCCGTTGCCTGTAGGGTCAGCACAAATGTTGTAGCTGATGCGAACCACACCAGCGTCAAAAGGACAACCTGAAGAGACATACCCTGTTGCGTCCATGCCGATGTGAACTTGTGACTCTGGGTTGGAGGCAATCAATGCATTGAAGTCGGCGGCAGAGACAGTAGCAGTGTCCTCGTCCTTGCGACAACTGTTACCGAAGTACCGAGAGCCACCATTACCATCGCCCAGTGTGAACAGACTCTTGTCGGTGCTAGAACGAATCTCGACGTCGGCATATTCATTTCCAGCGTTCAAGTCCGCGGCGAGCGAGGCAAAGACTGTGACTTCTGAGGTTGCGGGGGGGAGAGCTCCAAAGTTGAAAAACAAGTCTTGACCACGTTCAAGGAAGGGAAGAACAATTTCTTCAGATACAGCGCAGGGGCATTTGTCGAACTCAGGATCGCAAGGACAGCGAGCCGTGTAAGAAATCGTTACTGTTCCCTCGTCGTTAGAGCAGAATGTTCCAACCTCTTCTGTCGCATCAATCACGATCTTGACCTCGGCATTAGGCGACGAACCTACCAATGAATTGAAAACGCCGTTGTTGATGGTTTTACTGCGTGAATCCCGAATACAGTTCTCGTCTGAATTGTATCGAGTGCCACTGAGAAATCCCAAAGTAAATAGGCGTTCGCCAGCAATCTCAACTCGGGCATATTCGGCCAATTGATCCCAACCACCCCCCATATCAGCTTGAAAGGAAGCAGAGATAATTACATCAGAGACTGCTGGTGGAAGGAATCCAAAATTGAAATCGATTTCTTGACCGTTTTGAGTGTAGGGAATGGTCATAGTTTTCTGAATATTTGGGTCGCAACGTTCACCGCGTGCCATGGGAAGGACGATAGCAGCAAGGACTGCCAAGGAGAGGCTTATAGAGAAATTCATTCTTCGACTTTTTGATTGTACCGGTACCTTTCAAAACGATTTGAAGTTCAGTTTCAAATTGTGAGACAAGGTAAAACAACATTAAAAAAGGAGAAACAAACCTTACCTTTTTACGTGACAAAATACATAGCCTACTGTGGCTACTGCATTTGTATAGAGACATGACAACCGCGGTAGACGACTACGGTGTCTACGGTGCCTCGAAGCTGCACAGGAATCACGAATTGGATTTTTGATTTGTACCTTGGTATGATGGAATTGTATTCCATCAAAGGATAAGTATTTTCTTAGCATTCCATATATATGGCATCGTAGTCTTCATTCACGAAGAAAAATTCTGCAAGTTGCATGGTTTCGACGCACGAAAGTGGGGTACAGTATTAGTACCTGGTACGGTAGGTAGATGAATGCAGGTTATTGTACCAGGTACCGGTATCGTACCCAAGGTTTGCATCGGAGAGATCTTCCTTTTGGGCTCATCGTGTCAGATATATATTATAGTATGGTTTTTGGACGGCCTTCGTATTGAGCTGCCGATACCTTCTTTTTAAATAAAATATATTATATGCTGGAAATTGCGTACCAGTAGCTATTTTCGGAAAATTTCACTTATATATGCAGTCGGAATGTTCAAACACGAAGAAACATTTACTTATTACCAGCCAGAAATGCTGGACAGAAACGGATATTTCCACCGCTGCATTTTTAGACGGCGTCGAAGTATTCAAAAATCATATGTCAACTGTGCTTTATACAAATATTTGTTCTTCGTGATTGAACATTGCATTACATATCATACGTTTCAGGACTCCCCGCAACTCGTCTGTCTATCCACCAATTTTTGTGCGTCGGACGGGTCTTTCCCCCCGTCAGCAGGGAACCCCTCATAAATAAAACAAGCACATTATATTTACCAAAAGACACCGGCCCGGTCCGTCTGACCTCCACCTCCAACAGGTCGCTGGAGAAGTGGAAGGAGCAATTGGGCCTTGAACAAAATTCCAAATTCCATTATAAAAATTAATTCCAAATTTATCGCAAGCACGTGCTATCGACTGTAACGACCAACGGTGAACATGCCCGCTTCCTCGCAGAAACACAAAAACACAACAGCAAAGACACAAAAACATTTTTTCCACCAAAACATCAACTACATGAGCAAACTGATGCTTTGACCCCCCTGCCTCTTTGTGGTCTCAACCCAGTCAACAAATCGAACGCTTCCGTTTCTTCACATCTGTAGTAGGCTAGTGGCATTCCACACTCCTCAGAGACAGGTTCCTTCATCCGCTTCTGCATCCTGAGCTTTTTGCACAACTGTTCCTCAACTTTCATTGCGCAAAGTGACAAATAGTGTGCACCATAAAAGGCCCATTGTGTCGTGCCAAGTCCTCGCTTTTATAAGGTTGGAGATTTGGTGCATTGAAGTAAATAAGATGACAGGACCGTCTACAGGAAGGGATGCTACTGCTGGTACTACAGCAAAGAAGAAAAGGAAGCCCAGGGAGACTGTGGTCCCTCCACAAATGAGCACCCGTTCCAAGTCAAAACAAAAGACCCAAATCAACCAGTCTCCCGGTGCCACTCTTGTTGACTGGTATAAAATGAGGAATGCACATCAGCCTGATGCCGAAAAACTCACTCTTTACCAGGATTCCCTGGTGTTCAACCTTGCTCAATTCAGCAAACAATCTGGTCATAGTCTTCTCCTTTCCGTTTGAATACGCATACAAGTCATAGTCGTTGCGCCAACGACAGGCAATATCGGAAAGATCGTATTGGTGTTCAATGGAGAGTAAATGGCGACAGGGCAATCCATAGTGCTGTTTATGGCGGCATGAGCACTTCAGCACAACACGGTTGCTATCTTCCTTGTCCACTTCCACAATGTTGACCGACCTGAACCTGGGACGACCTTTGAACCATGCTGGGCACCCATGCGGCCGGGAGACATGACTCTGATCCAAAATCACACAGAATGAATCGGGTGAGATCTGGGCAACCACATAGTTGCCGGCACTCTGTTCCACTTGATCCATCATAATAGATCGGCCAATAGGTACAAGCTCTTTGAAACAATCTGAGTTGTGCCTTTTGTTACCCCTTTCAAGGAATAAGGGTGTATCCTCAAATTGGCGCAACTTCTTTTTCTTCCTCTCTCGATTCTTCATGTCATCATGGCTATGCATGGCTCCAGCGGAAGTGACCATTTTCTGATCTGGCTTTGCGGACATTGAACTGTGTTTGGCAGCATAGTTTAATCCCTCGGTTGCATTAGTAACATATTCCCCAAGGCACCGATGGTCTCGTTTCATGTAGTGGGCAAAGTTCTTTTCATGGGGCAGTACATCTGTGTCGACCCAGTCCATGAGTTTGCCGACGCTCTCCAGCCCCATGACCTCTTGTAGCTGTTCATTGTTCCGCAATTCATCCAGCAACAAGTTTTTGGAGAACATAAACTCTTCCTCAGTGAGACAGGAAGATCCGTCTGCCCAAGAACGGACCCAACCTTCAATTTCTTGCAGTATAGCCTCTCCCAATACCCTATTTTTGAAATAAGAAGGCGCAATGGATTTCTTTTGCAACGTTTTCTTAATGAGGTGGTGCCCACATCTACCCCGAAGTGCATTTGGTAGCAACTTAAGCATTGAATTTTCAAGAGCTGAGAATTCATTAGAATCACCATCAGTTAGAACCAAATTGACCCGCTCCAAATGCTCCTTGCCTAACATTGATGGGAGGGCCTCCTGAAAGACCCAGTTATAAAATGCGGAAGTTTCATTTGGCATGAACACACGCAGTATAACGAAGGCTTTGCCATCAGAGTCCCGACCACAAATGAGTAGAAGAGGGCGGCCTTCATTGTTAGTTTTGTGCGTGGCATCCATGAAAAGTACTTCTGGGTACCTCAAAAACTGGCGTTTGTCCTCCTCTACCATCCAGGAAGCCCCAATGAGAACACGGCTTCGGTTTGAGTTCACCCAAGGACATTTTGAATTGAGGTGAAGCCGTATCTCGCTTTGGGTTGTTAGCTGTTCCATGGGTGCAACAGATTTCAGCGGAATTTTGGTCTCCTCTTTTGACATTTGATTGATAGAATCAAGACCATCTGTCTCCCCTTCCTCGGTTGTACTATTTACGTTTCCAATTGTGAATAGTTGTCCACATGCTTCCTTGGCTTTGCTTGTCTTAGACAATCCGACAATTGGCGAGTGATCTGTGTATGTGAGGTTTTTAGCAACTTCAATGGGTGCCATGGGCGGATTGGTTTTGGATGGTCGTCCGACTGGCTTCCGGATGAAATCTGAAACAAGGTTGAGTGTCTCAGGTCTAATTTCATACGATAGAACACAATAAGACATCTTTGAATCACCAGGCTTGGAGGCTTCACGGCGGAGCCAGTTCAGAAGCTCAGAGGCTGATGACCGGCCAGTTCCCGGTTTGGCGGTTATAGCATCAGGGGCTGTTTCTATCACTCTTCTATGTGTGGAGGCAGATATGAAACCGTGTCTGAGTTCAAGTAACACTTTTCGTGCTTGAGTGCCTCCAACAAATGCATGCTGTTGGGCATAGATGATCCGACATTGTTCCTTTGTCAACAGGTTGGCAGGAATACTTAGTTCACCATTCTGAGGCTGTATGTGATGCTGATGCATGTTGTTTCCGGTGCACTTAAGGAATATATACCCACCGCCAGGTAGAGCATTGTCTTTGTGGATACCAAAAGTCAGCTTCAAGCGGCAAAGGAGATTACCAGTTGTATCTTTAGCAGTGGTTGTGGCACGTTTCCTTTTCTGGCCGTTGTCCCTGTTATTTCTTCTATCATTGTGCAGTCCCTTTCTCCTTATATCAGCCGCAATTCCACATGGGTCATAGTCGTTGGGGTCGTCTTTATTTGTTGTAGCACTTATTCTGCATCTGTAGCACCTGAGTAGGCCAGTTTTTGGATCAGCATGAAATTTGGACCCGTGGTAACATGCAATCACCCTGAGATGGTTCATAAGCTCCTTTCTTCCAATGGGGGTGGGGGGAAATTGCAGAGGATCGAACCTAATAGCATGATCCCGGCGCCACTGTTGTTCTTTGCCTACATAGTCAAATAAATTGACTGTCTCGTCTTCATGGTCAATCAAGCCTTTAAAGGGAAGTACGGCCTTCCACTGCAGCTCCCTTGCTTTTGCATTTTGCAATTGGTGTTCTAAATAACTTTGTGATGATGGTTCGGCCAAGAGAGACATGGGGAATGCGTTCTTTTCTAAGGCAATGACAACAAGTTATGATGGACGGTGACCTGGGGGAAGGGCGGGGGCAGGTTGTTTTCATGTGCAAAGCTACTTTTTTGGATTGTGTCATGTGTGTTGCTACTTTTTTGAGAGACGTCGGTGCCAAACTTATTTTCCGACTCTTTGTCTGTCCATCCACTCACATTATTCAAGCGACCTGTTGGAGGTGGAGGCCAGACTGACCGTGCCGGTGTCTTTTGGTAAATATAATGTGCTTGTTTTGAAACCGGTCAAAGAAATCGAAACAAGTCACTGCGACACGAAACCGGTCAAGCTATTTTGAAACCGATCAAAGAAATCGAAACAAGTCACTGCGACACGAACCCGGTCAAAACAATGTTTTTTCCGCTGCAATGCCCCAGCCCAGGGGTGTATTTAAAAACTATTTAGTAGTCAAAGAAGTCGGACTTGCTAAATCCAGAAACGGTACGGTCGGGCGACAGGCGAGTTGCGGGGGTCCAGGGATACCCCGCAGTTTGTCCTAGATCCGGGTTTCTATGATTTCTTTTTAGTCCGTGTGGTCATTTTCACCCTTTTCTGCATTAGTCTCTGAAATTGACTTAGGGCAAACTAAAAGCGACCAGTCGAGTATTTAAGAAGCAGAAATTGTGTTGATTCTTCCACCACTGTTCGCTCTAGTTCGCTTGTCGTGCATTCGCCGAAGCGGAAAATCATGAATTGTAGTAAAATGCCAAAATTGTCGTAAATTCCCAACAAGAAATCTACGACAATTCTAACGGTAATTGAGTACAATTGACGACATTTCTAACGGTAATTGAGTACAATAATGGGGGACAATTTTAACGGCCTCGATCGTGCTAACTGAACCGTTTTTTTTAAAATTGAAAATGTGAGCCTTGCTCGGAAGCAAGTGATCGGTGGACGCACAATGAAAGTGCTATAAATCATTGGGATGGTTGGAAAAGAAGTGACACCGGAACAGGTGCTGATCTACGGATTTGAGACAATTGGCATTCTACCTCCGATTACCACTGATGACTACACGGAGCACAACATCGGTGTTTTCTTGTCCAGTATGCGATGGACCATGGGCATCCTATCTTTGAAGCAAATACTGTACCACCAGAGTGAATAAACTAGG